TCAGGTAACCAGGACCCAAGCCGTTTAGGGCTTTATAGGTCATCACCAACACCTTGAATTGGGCCCGGACTTCAATGGGAAGCCAGTGAAGCTGACGGAGGACTGGAGTCATGTGAACTTAACGCCCAGTCCCCGTCAGCAGCCTGGCAGCTCTGTTTTGAACCAATTGAAGTATCCGGACCGTCTTCAAGGGTAGCCCCACGTAGAGCGCGTTACAGAATTCAAGGCGGGAAGTCACCAACGCGTGTGTCACTAATTTAGTTTCATGAGCTGCAGTACCTGCATTCTCTTGACTTCTGGGAAGTCCCCAGGTGAGATCTGGTGTTCTTGTTGCAACTGGCGATAGATTTCTGGTAGTTTGTTTATCAGTTCCTTCTTCTTATTTTCTTTTCCAAATACAGAAGGCATTTCCTTCTTCAGATAGCTAATGATATAAGCATGTACCTAAAAGACAATAGTGAATGTTTAGCATTTAGCAGTCCCCTCCACAAGAAACATAAGAAAAAGTCACAGGAGATACTTTTCGTTAGATTATATGAAATGAATAAATACTAAGATTAACCAATATTAAGGTAATACTGACGTACTTCTTTTGACTTTACAAAAACTATATCCCCCAGGGCAAATTAAAAAAATATAAAAAACATATAAAATGATGTTCTGTTGAAGGAAGTGAAATAAGGTCCTAATTTTGCAACAAGCTAGACAAGAGGACTTCTTCCTGTTCATGATGGTGAGGAAAACCACAGGGTTTTGGTTTTGCCTATGTAAGTCGGTACAAATAAAAAGGATTTAGCGGGCAAATAACTATCATTAATGAGAATTACAGCCTTCTTAATGGAAAGCAATTATTCCTTCAAAATGTTTATAAGGTTTCTATATAGGGTGGTGGCTGTTTTTTTGAATGCAATACAGAATCTCTTAGTTATGAGATGGCAGAGTAATAGGATAACTTGGATAGCTCATAGCAAAATAAAGGTATGTGTCATATACAGCAAGGGATTCACAGCTTCTGCCTTCATACACAACCATGAAGAGGCACTATGATAGACATCGCCCAGTAATTACTGCATTCCTTAAGTACCAGGATTATGTATGAACAAATAGAAAATTCCAGCCTATAACAGAGTAAAATATTACCCATGTATTATATTTACCATCATTTGAAATGCATGTTTGCATTTTTAATTCAACCTTGATTGAATTTTCACTTTCAGTGTTACAATTTTCACTTTTAAGTGTTACAAGAATCGAACCTCAACCCTGTTCCTTGTTGCCTGAAAGAACACTCACTCCTATACAATGCAAAGCAGGAACATCAGGTATGTGCCACATACACTCAGACTGTTCTGCATGATTGGTGGAAGAAAAGAACCATGATGGTTTCTTTTCAGCACTCCATGCATGTTGGTTGCAAGGTGCCTCAGTTCCATAATTACACATGTTAGGTACATGTTGTCATATCATCCAGATCTGGCAAAGATGGGTGATGTGTCTGGTTTCCAAATTATTCTGGAACCCACAAGCAAGCCATGGCTTGTAGAGTAGTTGGATCATCCCTGTGGCCCACCTTGCCAGGTTCAAACAACATGGCAACTTGAGCCAGGCAAGAGAAAATATGGAAGTAATTTCCATAAGCATGACTTCTTTTCCATCCCTGATCGTATGAACCTTATCATAGACAGATGCAGACATAAGGATAAAGAGGAAGAACAAAGAAAAGGACAAAGGAGAAAAAGTGGGAGGTGAAGTAGGGAGGACTCATTTAGGATCACTTGATCAAGGCACACATCATTACAGTTCAACAGCTCAGGGAATTGGATCCATGTATTATATTTATATAAACGATCAAATTGATCCAGCAGATTTCAACAAGGCTTTGAACTGTACAGGCTGCCCAAGGTGAAGTCTAAAGTGATTTCTAGACTCAGCAGTGTAAGATAAATCTGCAGTTTATTCTCTAAATATATTTATGAGAAAAAAAAATAAAGCAAAAAAGTTTGAGGGCCAAAGTAGATACTACTTTGTATCACAGAATTCTATCACAGATGTTAATTCTATGAATGCAATTAACATTTACAGTTGGCAGGGAAGTTGTCTGAATACTAAAATACTGAACTGAAATGTTTTTCTCTTCTTTACTTCTCTATCAGCTAGATGTCAGTTTTGCCTACTGGCCAAAAATATTTATTTCAGGTTCCTGCCTGAAATAATTATTTATCAGAATCAAGGAGGGACACATACTTGTTTTCTAAGGTTGCACTCCTACACACATGTATCTGGAAGAAGGCTCCACTGAATGCAATGGGACTTATTTCTGAGCAGACATGGACGGCAATATTCTCAAAGAACCTTTAGTGGGAAATTTTTGTGTCTACAGTACCAGATTACAAGATTTTTCTTCTTCACAGATTAGAGCAGTGCATGCAAGTATACACATGCCTTTTAAAACAAGGCAAAATAATAAATCTGAATTCTGCAAAACCTTCCTACCCAGACTTTGCTCCTTTTGAAAATCCTACCATAACAGTCACCCCAATGTTCTCTATTAACAGCAACGCGGAAAAGAAATAGAAGAAAGGGATTCTGGGAATGTCCTGGTGTCCAGTGTCCAACTAGAGTAAAAAGAAGTATCAGGGTGGTTGGAGGAAACAGAAATTTCAAAGGAAAGTAAGACTCGTGGATTCTGGGCATCTTGTATAAAGTGCCAGCTATTTAAATACTTTTCTTCAAAGCATGAATACAAATAGGCCACAGTATTCAGAACAGGACTGAGCAAGATGGGAAGGCTCCATTTCAAGGTTCCAGGTAATATAAGGTCATCCAGCTTGGTATATTTAAAGAAATAAAAGAGCCACCTAGTAATTAATAAGACACAAGAGGTTTAGTTTGCCTCTCCCCCCGCCCCACATACAGAAAGCTGCTTGTTCCCAAATCATTAAAGAGATATATTTGCAGACATTTTTAGTTTACACCTAGCATTTAAAGGGCTGTTAGTGATTAATCTCCAAGGTTGTTCTTGTTTATAATTAGTCTAATAATCTTCCTCTACGTCGGTTTATGATACAATGCACAGCACATCAAGAAACACAACTTCTGCAAAACCTTCAGCCAGATCAGCTGCCATACAACTATCTTTCTACATCTTTTTTATTTTTAAAAGGTATATGTACATCTTTATATCTTAGAGGCTATAAATACCAGACACTGAAAATGATGACTCATTTTTGTGAAAGGCATGTGGGTTATCAAATGTTGAAAGTCTTCCTTACTACTCCCTGCAACCACTCAAATGATTTTATTTCTTCATATTCCCCTTGTGTTTTTTGCAGATAAGGATGTTTCCTGTTTTCAAAGCATTTCAGTATGGCCTGTCACATGGGGTGGCAGCAATACCAGAGGGGCCTGATGATCACAGATGATCTGGCAATCCACTCACTTTGTTATTTATTTATTTATTTATTATTTATTTTTTATTTATTAAAACATTTTTATGCCACCCCATTCGCCGAAGCCTCGGGGCGGCTTACATCACTAAGTTAAAATAATTATAATATAAATTAAAAATATAAATATTAAATTAAAAATACAACAATACAATATAAAATAAGCCGCCCTTATTATAACACAAGAGGAATTTCAAGAGCAATTTAGGAAGGGAAGGCAGGGTCAATCTAAGGAAAAATGCAACAGTTTAGGCTTTTTTAAAGAAAGAAAATACTGAAAAGAAGGTTTTTATTGACTGACAGCTATTTAGTTATTATTAGTTATTTAGCTATTTAGCTGTGTGGTTCCTTTGCGCTGAAACTGCAGGTTAGGATACAATCCCCTGCATGCTTAGAACGAGACAATCCTAGAACTCCCAACATTTTTCTGTCTAAACAGGATTGCATGTGTAGATAATTCTATTGCTTGTTCCATGTTCCTTCTGTGTCTGAAGCACCAGTAATCTTTTGACTTGGATCTTAAGAGAAGAGAATGTGTGCAAGCCCTCTGAATCTTGCACTGTTCAGGAAGGCCCCCAGCTCAAGGCTTGCACAACCTGAGATGGGTGGACCTGCCTCCTCTCCCTCCTGCTCTCAGCTTGTCTTCTAAATAGTGTGCCACAAACAGCACCGGCAACCTTTCCAGTGCCATCCTGCCCCTCAGTCCTTTAATACTACTTTTAAAGGTGCCATTTGGTATTTCTGTGTGAAACGCTGAGACATTTCGCTATGTTAGTACAGAAGACCTCCAATAAGTAACTTAAATGCTGCTTCCTTCCTCAGGAATAGCATCTAGGATTATGTATCCTTTAATTGGTTGTCATTTGTTTTGAAAATAGTTTCAGTGGGCTTTTTAAAAACACCTGTTTACAGTATTTATTAAAGAAAACAACATCTGTTAAGCCCTATATAGAATGTATAATACAGTATAGATGCCATCCTGTAGGATATTCTTTGGGACATGCAAAAGATAACTATTATAGATAGCCCTATAACTTTGTTACAGTGCAAAGAAAAAAGAAGGTCTAGCTCTGTGACACCTGGAAGCAGCTAAGGCTGTGTGATATCAGGGGGCAAAAACAAGGTTGGTGACATTGAATTGGTAGAGTTGTAAATATTCAGCATTATTTTAAAAAGGAAAGAAAGAAATGTTCTCTGATAGTGAGAAAATAGTTGGTTAATTCCGGAATGGGTGACACTGCAAGTTTCTATTCTGTTTCCCCCCGCACAAAAACAATAAACAATGCTCATCTTACTTCAGTCTGTGTAGACTATCAATTGGAACATAACAGGTGGAGAAAATAAGTTAGTAATTGCCTGATTTGTATTTTCAAACATGGTTGCAGTTCCTGTGTGGCCATTTTGAATATTCGAGCCATGGCTGCAGCCTATTTTGCCATATAAACCTGGAGACTATGGGTTATGTGGGGATTACACAACTCTCACATAAGCCTGAAACAGGACATGATTTTCATTTAAACTTTGCCTAACCCAGCCTTCAGATTTGGATGAAAAGGCACAACCACAGCTTGATTATTTAAGATGGCACTCATAGCCAATATATGATGTACAGTAATCATACAAATCCAATTGGGCAGTAACTTCAACCTGAAGCTGAGTTTTATTTTGCAATTTACCTTTGCTAGCCGTGATCTCTTGATAAGGTCATTCAGTTTTCTCACTGTTGCCTTTTGTGGTAGGTTCTGGATGTCCTGGAACAGATCTTGTGCCTCTGCCTCAAACAGTTTTCGGTTTTCTGAGTTTTGCAGGGGTTGGGCCCAAAAGGAACCAATGTAGACCCGTAACACCTCTGGTGTATTAATCACTTTTCCCAAGGACCACATGAGTGCACCATAGACTCTCATCAGCTGCTGCGTGTCCACTTGATCAGCTTTATTCAGTACCACCCGGATCTTGTCATCCTGACCCCGGAATGCTTTTATTGCTTCTGAGAACTCATCAGAAATATCAAGTTTATGGGCATCAAATAAGAGGATGATGCGATCAACTCGTTCAGCAAACCACTGCAGGACCTGACAAAAATCATAGCCTAAAGAAGAAGAAAAGACAGTAAACAGTAAGAGGGTATCCAATTTGGCCTTGCTGAGAAATCCTTTTAATCCTGTAAAATAAGTCTTATGGAACAAGACTGGACATAATTTTATAATGCTCAGTATTATATCATGTCCAGATATTGCAAGAGAGGGCATCTCCAAGTTCCTTACAGTGCATTCCAGATAAATTGCACTGGAGTGTTATTCAGAGATCGTTTCTGGGTTATGTCTGCTCTAATAAAGAAAAGCCTTCTTAGTAACAACATGCCTAGCAATACAGACTCTCAAGAATACAGACAATACTCTTAACATATAGTGCGTGTCACAGAGCACTGGTCCATCCAGGCCAGTACTAGCAGTTGTTCCTTCCATAGTTGCAGGAAGAGAATTTTCCGAACTCTGCTACTCAAGATCCATCTAAGTAGGTATGCCAGACCTCAGTGTCCTAACATCAGGGAGGACAAACTATGCCAATTCAGAAACACAGCCAAGTGAATACTATGAAGCCCTATCACACCCATCAACCAAAAATGCCCAGAGAAGGGCTTGCAGGGGCTGAGGCTGAAAAAATGGTTTGCCTGAGTCTACCCAGTAACTTCATGGCAAAAGCAAAATTCTTCAAGGTTCCTGTTGTTGAGATTTTTCTGCCTTCAGTCTGATGTATCATTAAAGCAATTAACCCTAATGGTATTTTAATTATTTTTCAACTTATAAAAACAAATACCATCTCATAAGAAAGTAAGAAGCATGAATGCAGTAAAAGCCTAGATTTTGCTGTAGCCAAGCTGTTAAATCAAACTATCAAAACAAATTAGACTGGTTTAGGTTGCATCCTATACAGCCTTACCTGAAATTAGATCCTTCAAATTCACTGGGACTTCACTATGAGTAGATTTACTGTCTTCCTTCCTGCAAAATTATTTGTGAGCACTACATAGTTCAATTAAGAATTAAATATTATTTGGCCTCTCTATTGTTTTATATCTTTATTTTGCTCTTTTTATTATTTTATCTTGTTTATTTTGAGCTCTTGCTGGCAGGAAAAATGAAAGTATTGAATTGATTATCAAAAGGCTCACCTCTTCTAATCCTCTGCTTCTCTCCTGAAAGAATGCCAGGGCTATCTATGATGCTGATGCTCTTCAGGACTTGGTTAGGTAACTGAGCACACATGAATCTGTAAAAATGAAGAAAAGGGTTGTATTTATTTTAACACATTTTTCCTGTATCTGACCACCCCCCCACAAATTATGTGCTGTAACATTTATTTGATCAATTTCTATACATGTAATATAGCATCATATTGTTATTGGCATTTTCTGCACTGCGATTTTCTTGTGATAACACAAGAGTTTTCTGAGAACTTATTGGAATGCTTCCCACATCTCTTTATAGCTTCCTAGTAGAAACACAGATTGCATGTAGATGGTTCCTTCCATTCCAACTCCTAGTGGGAGTCCATGACTCAGTGGTAGGGTACTTACTTTGTAGGTTCACTCCTGTGCATCTTCAGTTAGGTCAGTGGAAACTCCTGTCTGAAACCCTTAAGAGCAACTGCCATAATTGTGGACAATTCTGGGCTAGATGTACCCATGATTGGACTCTTGGGTTGCAAAGGTCCATGCTCTGTGGAGACTATTTATCTGATAGATTCGTAGCTTGACTTTCCTCCAAGGAGCTCAATCTTGTGGGATACAGTTTCCATAATCCCTAGCCACCATGGGTGGCCTTGTTGGCTGGGGATGATATGGGAATTGCATTTGTCTAAACAGATAATCTGAAGGACTCCTCAACACACAGTGAGAGCTATGCAAGAAGAGTTTGTTTGTGTTCTTGAAAAGGAAAACAACATGTTAGAACACTCACAATTACCGACAAATTCTAATCCTACTATAATGTATGTATGTCCTTGAACAGTGGTGCAAAAGTTAAGAAAGTGCAGCAAAGACAAATGTATTAACCACCTAGGTAATGTGGATGCTCATGCCATTTCTTTAATGTGCATTTGATTTTTTTTATTACTACAAATATTCAACAGCCTTTTTTACAAGATCACAAATATTTTTTTAAAAGTCAGTAATGACCGAATGAAAAAAATAGTTTTAAAGATTCTAGGATTCAATATTTTTCCCTTCATATGTTCTGATTTTCTGTAATGTGTTTGATCTGTGCTTAGTACTAACTGATAAAGAAGTTAAATGTTAGAGGAAGACTAAACCCTTTATGCCAGCTGAACAAAGACACAATGTTTAAAAATTTCCAGTTGTCAGTGATGTAAACACAGTGGCAAGTTTTACAAGAAAAACAAGAACTGCAGTTCTGTATGGAGATAGCACCATGTAATACACTCACACTATTTCTAGGGAAGTGTTAAGAGTAATTTTTTAAAAGAAAATTGGGGAGGAATGCACTTTACAGAAGCATAAAAGCAAACCTCTCTACAGTTTCGCATTAGAATTATTCAAAATAGAATATTAAAAGAAAGACAGGTTGGCATTGTCTCAATAACTGTACTGGGCCACAAACACAGTGATTTGAATTAGCATTTTACAAACCTTTTCTAGGTTGATAAATATCCCTGTAGAGTAATACCGTACTAATATTAGAAAAAGGCTAAATGAATTAGGATTTAGAGTTGTTTGTAAAGAAAAAGAAAGGAATCCAAAGAAAGACAGACTGAAAAAGGAAAAGGAATAAAACCCAGAGAGGGGTGAGAATAAGCTTAGAGAACAGGGCTGCTCCCCTCTTGTCTTCCCTTCAACCTTGCTCAGGCTAAAAAGCAGAACCAGAGTTTAGACATAGGTGCCAAGCAAAAGTGTGGCAAATGTATGGAAAAAACTCTAAGCAGCATGGGAACTGGTTATCCGAAGGACTGCTTCCTCCCTTGTACACCTGTCTGAGATCAGCTGCTCTCTCTCTTTTATGCATGCCTGGTATCTGTAAAGTCAGGATTGGTGGCAATGCATAAGCAGGATTTCTTGGTGCTGAATCCTGGTATGTGGAATTCCAGCCCACAAGGTTCAGTCATCAGCTTCTTCATGTTTCACCAGCAAGTGAAGGCATTTCTTTTCAAATAAACAGCTGATTTTTCTGTTGCATAATGCTACTGACTGTTAAATTTGTGCAGTTGCTCCTAGTTTTAACCTGCTAAAGTCTGTTGATGTTACTATTATTACCTTTTGTAAGCTGCGTTGAGCAACTTCTTTTTCCGGGAGTAGTGGAGAGACACGGAATTAAAGTTTTTAAACAAATAAGCACATACATAAAAAATAATGAGTGTGATGGTCTGGGGCCTGGATAGCGGAAAAGCAAGATTAGCAAGCCTTGGCAGCTCTGTTTTGCTTTTGCTGTGGCACCAGAAATGGTTGTTGCAGCTCTAACTCTGCATCCATCGTGAGTGACTTGGGGAACAGGCACTCCTAGAAAGCTTGTGGCTCCCACAGCGTACTTCAGCAGTTATGTTGCTTTCTCAGTCTCTTGGCTATGCTAGAGCAGGCCAAGATGCATTTGGCTATGACCACCCTGAGGGGTTGAACTACTTACTTTGTCCATTGGCTGAGAAGTATACCTTGAAGAAGAGAACCACTATTTCCTATGAACTTGGATGCTTTGAATGGACACTGCAAAGCAACAGCAATAATACTTTGACCTACAGAAGCTATGCAGAACAGATGCAATGTGAAGCCAGTCTGCACCTGGTAAAATACTCTGGATATTTCCCTTAAACTCTTAAGTACAGGTAATCCCCGAGTTACAAACGTCTGAGTTATGAACAACCTGCACCTACCAACAGATGGCAACACAGCCTATTATTTTTTATTAAATTAATAAAAAACACTGCAGAAAATTGTCGTCACCATAGAGAAAGAGGAAGTGGAAGGGGAGAGAAGTTAGATCTCCAAAGCATCATCAGAGAGAAAGAGAAAGCAAAGGAGTAGAAAGGGAAGCCTCCAAAGCATGCCTTCCTCTCCCACCCATTATTTCCTTGCTGCAAAGAGGGGGCACTGGTGAGTTTAAGTGAAGGTGGGGACTAGAGATATTTGCAGTTTTTCCACTTTTATGAGCATCATGTGCCCCAAGCCCCTGCAAATGTGGAGGGCCAAATATAAGTGATCTGACTTAAAGATGAATTTCTGTTTTCTTAGGAATAGAACTCATTTGTAACCTGGGGACTGCCTGTACTAAAAATGTTACATCTTGCAACCTAACAGAAGACTACTCTATTTATTCACTAAGTGACAAAGCCAAGGGGAATTCTAGCCACAGGACTAGATACTACTGTATGATAGCATTATCCAAATTCTGCTCCTGTTTAGTTCTTATATACTATACTGCACAACTGCAATTCTCATTTATAATTGAAAGTACTGCAGTATATGAAACACTGTATTTGCCAGGACTTTCTGAAACAACTGCAGATCAATTTCAGTTTACATCCACATTTTCTGTTGCTCTTTACTCAATACTTGAAGGGAACACTCAATTTACAAGCTTTTGTTCTGAATAATATATATAGACTAATAGATGACAATTCTATGTCTGTACTGTACCTTAGCATATAAGATGAATTTAAAAGGCTATCTTGAACATTACTTTTCTGCACTGCTCATTGGGGCAGGTAGGGAGAAAAGCAAAGTAAAGATTATCTAACATGCAGCTTGAGACCCTGACCAAAATGCAGACCTACAACTGAATCCCAATATTGGGAAACAGGGAAGAAGCAACATGAAGGCCACACACACAGACAAGCCATTCCTATTGAATGCCCTCTCAGAGAGGTTCACTGGAGTCTTAAATCAGGGTGCTTTGGGTACCAGGTAAAAACAGCTTTATTTTTCTAGGCCTGCTAATGTTTCAGTTTTAACTCTGTCTGAGGGCAGGCTGAAGAACCTCTCTCACCCAAGAGAAAGTCTCGGGGATGCATTCCAGTGGGAATGGGTTCAAGGGCAAAAGGTGTGAGGTCAACAAAGCAAAACTGCCCAGCTTATTATAGCTGCATGTAATTTAGCCTCAGGAGAGGCATTTAAAATTGTTAGGGAACGAGGAACAAATGAAACAAAAGATGGAAAGCCACCAGATAATCCATGGCTGGGGGTAAGTGATGAAGCCAGGGTAGGGGGAAATGGTCTTCCGGAAAATCCCACAGGGCCAGATTTGGCCCCTGGACCCTGAGGTTCTGAGTCCCAGTGTTAGATCTAAGTTCCTTGCCTGGCTCCCGTCCTCTGCTCTTAGCTTTACTCCAGCTGTACTCTGTAGCAGTTTCAATTCTAGATTATACATTGTATTTTATTATATACTATACATTAATATCATACCAGCTATTATATGTTGTATTGATACAGTATTCATAATTAATTTTGAGGGTTTCTACCCTGAAAGGTGGCCAAGAAAGTTAAATTATATTGGTGAATTTTATAACTTTAACCTTCATTTTGTGAACCATCCAAAAAAGTGTTGTCTGTTGGACAGTATATGAATACTAATACACAGACACTCACACAATTTTTATGCACACAGGAAATGTATGTAGACTTCCTTTACCTATTCAAGAATGCATTTCCAAAACGGCTGAGTTTGCGGAATGGCTTCTTGGGGTCCACTACAAGAGCATTCCCAGGAGTGCTCCCTTCAGTTTCTCCATACATGACAGCAATGAAAGAATCTGTAGTTGGCTCTGGACCAATCCGCATTCCTGGAAAATCTTGCTCTAAAAGGTACCTAAGTGGAGGTATGGAAAATAAGAATATAGATTTGATTAAAAAAAATAAGAAACACTGAGCACGAATAGCTTCAGTTGTGGAGTGATACAGAAATGAAAACAATAAGTGAAGTTTCTCTCAGTAGATATTTCGCCATCTTGGAGTTGAATTGACTCCTGTTTGTTCCAAGCATCTAACATTATTTGGTACAAATTGTGTTAATAAAACCATGTATTTAATATTTTGAGGTGCACAAAATGCAAGTTCCTTTTTGCCTGTCCTGTGCTTCTTTCTTCCTTGAGTCAGGCCTCTGAACTCATTTAGCCGAGTGTACTGGAAAGGGGCTGGGGCTAGGAAGGATCCAAGGGTGCACAGGATTATGCTTCCCCTTGTTAAAAATGTAGTGAATTCTTCTGTTTTGACAATCAAAGGCAAGTTTTTAATAAATATGAATTATTTACTGAGCAGCTCTTCTGGCTTTTATCCTGCAACAGCAAGAACAACTTATGTTTCCAAATTAAAGTGAGAAAAAGAGTGAAGAAAAAGTGATTTTTTTTAAAGTCAGTAAAAGCAGGTTTGCTAAGTTGGCTGCAGGCTAATTCCTGAAGCAAAGTCAGCTTGAACTAATGTTTCACCTCTATCTGCATCTTATCAATGACTCCTTCTGCCTGTTCATTTGCCAACTGAGTTACCTTCTGATATCTTATGCGCTCTTCCAATGTTAAATTGAGATATAGAAGCAATAAACTTTTCAAAACTGAGCACCTTCTCACAGCCATGTGTTATAGACTTGGGGCGAATGCAATCTTACACTTTTGCTTAGTAACAAATTATTCCACAATTAAATATTGGAAAGGCAAACTTCCCTCTGCATAGTGCAATATCTGATCATGCTCAAACAATATGTAGTCAAGTGACTATATCTGACCAGTCAGTTGCCAGTATGAATAATATTTACAGAATATACATAAAAACAATTAGCTAAATCTTGTCCTGAATTTGTCTTGTCATAATATAAATAAATTAGTTAAGTGCTTGATAGGTAGAATAAAAGCTAGAGGTCTTGACATGCTCTCAGCTAGCATGGCAAGCAGAATTATTTCCAATCTTTTCTCAAATGAGGCTGCACAGCCCATGAGACAATCTACCCACCCACATCAGGGGGCATTTACTGGGGTAACTCCCTTCTGCTGATGTACATACAGGCAAAAATAAAGGCAGAATAAGATATGCGGGATATAGCAATCCTGCATGGCCACTTTGACTATCCCTATTATATTCTTCCAATAAAAGAAACAGCCCAGTCTCCCTGTAATTGTGCTCCACCACCCTACAGATAGCTGGTTGTTTCTTTAAAACAGTCCATGCTGTATAAACATTTAAGCTACAATTCTGTAATAACCTACACATGCTAATGGCTCACTAACAAGTCAATGCAACCACATATAAATGGTACAGGCCTAAAGAACATAGTTTCTCATCACACCTGCTTCTCTTCCTTCTAAGAACATAAAAACATAAGAAAAGCCATGTTGGATCAGACCAAAGGTTTATCAAATTGATAGGCCTCAAATAAGAGGATAATACAATCAACCCACTCAGCACATCACTGCAGGACCTCACAAAAATCGTAGCCCCAAGGAGGAAAAAGACAAAAAATATGAACATAGGAAGAGCTATGCTGGATCAGACCAAAGGTCCATGTACACACAGGGGCAAACCAGCTGCCCACAGGATCAATCAAGCAGGATGGGTGCAAGACCTCCGCCTGCCCAAGCTCCTCAGCAACTAGCATGCTACCTCTGGTAAAGTTCTGTCCCTCATTCTTTCCTCCCAGAAAGTGTTGCGTTTTGTTTTAAAATCAGTATTTCAGTCTGTAATTCGAAACACATTTAACAGGAAGTAAGTCCCCATAACTGAAGAGATTTTACTTCCAAGTAAAAATGCTTAGGATTTCACTGTTACATACTACTAGGTCAGAAGATTGCAACACAGTAACCTTAAGGCAGAACTATTGCCTTAAGCGGTAGGCATACATTTTATTTAATCTTGTTTCTTCTCCATTTAGACATTTCTTTTCTAAAGAAATAAAGGCATATTTTAATATCAATTAAAGCAGTTTTTCCCTTCACTCTATTATAATATTGCGTTAAAAGCAAAAAGCTACTGCAACAGTAAGAGGTCAAAGAACTATGAATGAACAGCATCTTTGGTAAACCTGAAAAATGTAGAGCAGTTCACAGAGCCCAAACCCTTGGAATGTTAGAAGGCAGAATCTTGAAGGTTAACATGTCAGCTTGTACCCCCTCTTCTTCCCAGTGAATGAAGTCATTTTTTAACAGAGTTCCTGAAAGCACTGCCTGAAGGTTAGTTCCATCAGATCAATACTCTATTTTAAATCAGTCAAATGTCATTCCATTATCCTTACTATGGTAATCTTAATTAGCCATTTTCAAACTGTTCCAGGGATTCCTGGGGCAAACTTTTCCACAGTGGGAAAAATCTCTAAGATTGTATAACCTTGCTATTCTTGCCCAGCCATGGGACAGGGCAGGTGTCATGAAGTCATGAAGCCCAAGTAAAGCCCATGAAGCCCATGGGAAATCATGAAGCCCAGGTAAGCATCAGTAGAGTCAAGTCTCCACCTAACTTGATTATGTAACTGCTACTTCCATGACAAAATACAAAGCAAGTGAAAAAAAGTTATGTGAAAGAACAAAGGAATAAAATAAGTTGGGAAGACTGAAAAGGCTGCAGAGAGATCCTGAAGAAGACAAGACAACCAACAAAAAAGCTAACAGAAATTAATGGAAGAGTGAAAATGCATAGCAGAATTAATAGAATGAAAACCTTTTATTACATACAACTATAATCATTACTACATAATGAAAAGTGACTTCATTTGTGCCTTTATTCATTGTCTTAATTCACTATATGGACCAACAATTTTTAATCCATAAATATACTGTTCTTATTCACATGACTCCAGAAAAGTTGCCTTCTGCTTTCCTCTCACCCACAGTTGAGAACTGTGCACTATGGAGCACAGGATTTCCATGGCAGACATGCAAATGCAGGATATTTGGGGACTTACTCATTTGAGTTATACTTACTTCAGAGATACAAAATTATGTCATTAGCCCAAACCAGTGGACTGCAGGGATGAAGTAAGAGCACTCCAGCAATTGTTCTGAAGGGCAGATACAAAGCAAACAGGGAAGATGTCTTTCCTCTCCCATAAGCACTCCACCCAGTTCCTGGGCTGAAAACTATTTTTGCCTCCCAAGCATAAAAGGGCAAAGGATGTTTGTAGAAGAGTGGGGATCCTGTGTGAAAAAAAATCATCACGTCTGAAACCATTTGAAGGAAGTCCAACCTTTATAAAGGCAGGAGGTTAAGAGGGATAATAAATCTCAGCAAATATAAACTTGGGCACTTGGGATTTGTATGTATGGATAATCTCTGCTCTACCCCATAGTCAAGAAGTCTGGTTTACATTAACAAATTTCTCGAATTGTTTGCGAAGACAGGGAAAAGAACGCATGAAAAGTTTGGTATGAATTGAATAGTACATGCAGACATCTAACAGCTACCATATTTTTTGCTCTGTAAGACGCACATTTCCCCCCCTCAAAAGTAAGGGAAAATGTCTGTGCATCTTATAGAGTAAATGTGTGTGTGCCCGACGCCCGGGACGCTGCCGGCCCGTCTGCACCACGTGGCACCACCTGGCCGGCACGCGCTCGGTGTGCCCTGCTCTGCCCCACTCTGGCGCAGGTGAGAGCTGTGCCGCTCAGGGGGAGAGGTGCGGAGAAAGAGGAGCCGCGGGCTTTAACCCACCTGCGGCACGGAGAGACGGACTGCTCACCCCCACCGCCTGGGAAGACCTGCCGCCATGCCACCCGGAAGACCACCGTCGGCACGCTGCCGGCCCCACGTGGCACCACCTGGCCAGCACACGCTCAGCGCGCCCTGATGGGGAATGTGCCTGTGATTATCAGGAAGCTTTCCATGGATCAGTTATCTGTTAGTTGATCAGACACATTTTTTTTAGGATCAGTGGATATTTGAACAGCATTACGTTCGTGTATGAAGTTTATTCTTCAAAGGCTACTTAGTCCGCTGTGTGTTTGATTTACTGTACAATATCTCATTTTTTGTGAGAAGTTTTTTTCTATCATTTACTAGTAGGGCAGCATGGACATTACTGGCTTTTTTAGATTTGTTATTGAATTGTCCGCAGCAGCTCTTGTATAACTGGTGTAGATTGTGGATTCCTTCAATAATTCCACTACTGACTAAGAAAGTGATGTCAGTGATTGTGAGCAACAGAGCTTCATAAATTCTGACTCTAGTGATGATGAGTTCTATGGGTTCAACAAAAACTAGAAGAGTACTCGAACTTTAAAGTCTCTCTTTTGTTAATGACAGTGATGATGGTTCTTAATGCCACTGTTGACTGCTGTTCACTTTACAAGGTTGAAATACAGTATTACTGTATTCTGTTATAGTTTATTAAATAGTTTAGTAAACCATTTGATTCAGAATATTTTTTCTTGTTTTCCTCCTCTAAAAACTAGGTGCGTCTTATGGTCAGGTGCGTCTTATAGAGCGAAAAATATGGGACTTCTGTGGCTATGGCTGCAGCCAAAAGGTCAACCACAATCAAAGAGAGAGCAGCTAGCTGCCTTACTCCAAGTGCTGTTTGGTTCACACACTAACCTTTCTTCACAGAATCATGTGACATGGAGAAATTCAGTAGTGTGAACCTACCCACTAGGAGTACTATATATGGTTCCGTTTGGAACAAAGGAGGTACCCTAACCTCAACCCTATTGGGGAGTATAAAATGAAATAACAAGTCACGTTTATATTTACTGTTATTACACGCTGTCGAATCAGCTTATGACAACCCTACGTTAACGAGTGTCCTGTCCATTACAGCACTGATCAGTTCTTGTAAACCACTTATTTATTAAAAGAACTTTTAAAATGGGATGGCATACCAACCTGCTAACATTCTTAGCTACTTAAAGCACTCGTGCGGACAAAGAGACAGGTGTTACCTCAGTGGAGAACAGCCCTAATAACCCATCCCCCCCCAGAATGAAACTTGGATCAAATACTTCCTTATCTTAGCTATTAATGAATGCATAACCTTATATTATATATGGTCTTTTTGAGCAGGCTATGGTTAATGCAGTTATGGAACTTCCTCCCATTCTCAGTTCACCTCATGATAAACCTGATGATCCTCAGGTCAGATTACATTTTTCTAGGGTTCTAATTGGTCTTCTGGCATTTGCTGTTTTTTAACATGCTATTTTTGGTCTGAAGGCTGATTGGCTGCACAGTTCATCAACAAACAACTATCAAAGGTGTTTTCAAAAACAGGGTCTGCACTCTTTGTGCATTCTTTCACATCTTCTAACCTTCACTTAGACCAAGACAACACAAAAGAATAAGACTTGTAAAGGAATACTGTCAAGAAATTTCCATTTTTTGGTATTGTTTGAAGAGAGTAAAAAGATAATAAAATATTTGATATCTCAATTTTTCAGACACTTAGATATCCCTGTTGAAGAAACATTAATTGTTATGACTTCATAATGAGAAATCAGCATTTTGTCTGCTGATCTGAGGGTGTTAAACAATGTAGGAAGTGGTCTTTATACTGACAAGGGAAGTGAACCATCTGGAGAACAATAAGAATTTAATGGAAATCATAACAAGAAGTAGTTGGTCAACATTTTATTCTTATTAACATATCCAATTATCTTCCCAAAAATTTAAAAGATACATTTTTAAAAAGACAAATTAAAGAAATCAGTTTTGCTTAAGAAGCAAAATGGCAATTGTGGAACACTTAAAAATGTACAGCCTGGGCTTGTCTTACAGACAAATGAGGACTTTGACATAATATGAAATATGCAGAAAATGCTATAATAGTGATGCTGAACAAGCTACTTTTGATTATTTTTATACAGTGAAATAATGTACAGCATATAAAAAAGCTTTATCAATGAACTAAAAATAAGGAGATTTTTGCTTAAATAAAATTATTCTGTAAGTGTTTCTATTCTAATTCCAGGATTTAAGTGTTAAATTCAGAATGCCTGAATGAAGTTTGACATTTGCTTTAAATAGGTTTGGGCATATCAAGGAAGACAATATATATATACATATATATATATATATATATATATATCATAAGGATAGATCGGCAGAATCAAAGAAAGCTGCTATAGTTGTAGTGTCTCTGGAATGTACAGAAATGCTGCCCAAGATCTTGTCTTTGCTAGCTTTTAAACATAATTTAATGAAAATCCTATGTTACAGGACTTCAGCCAAACCCCCTTCTACACTGCACCAGACATTCTCTATTGTGTCCTTCACAACAGAAACTACACCCTGCATGACTCAACCAATACCAAATTTCAAGGTCATCATTCCTCACTATGATGAAACCTCTCCACCTCCCTGAAACATCCTTCTCCCAAGGAAACTAAATTGCCTTTAAATATTTGCAAGGAAAAGGTATTTTGGTACCTTAAAGATTAACAAGTTTACTGTGGCATGACTAAACATTTTTCATCTTTGCTGCTTGTTTTATCTTGAAGGCATATACAAAACTTGTTGAGATAATTACCTTTGGGGTATAACACTGAACTTGAAAAGGTAAACACGTAAGAGAGGACTGGACACTGAGCTGTCAGCAAAGTTAAGGACTAAAAGAAGTACATTCTAACATACTGGTAGTGAGCTAAGGAATGCAGGAGGGTGAACATGTGAAATAACCATTTTGCACTAGAAGAGAGAGCACTGAACAGATTTTTAAAAGAAAGGTTAGTGTGCATGGTTATTAAATATTTGCCAGGCACAAATCTGGGTAGTAAGGGTAAGCAAGCAGTAATTTCGTTCTGGAATCTTTTCATTTCAGTACAGAAGTGGGACAAAAGGGGCAATGTCACTCTGCAAGTTGAATTGAAATACAGATCTTTTAAAGAGCAAGACTGCAAGAAACAGCACACAATTCATGGTAACATTAATGGCACAATGTGTGCAAACACAAATGTTGGATTAAGCTGTATGTTAACAGTCTGACCATATAATGAGAAGTAATGGAACCCAAATGCTCTCACAGGCCTGCTTCTCAGTGTGTAAAATGGAGAGGTTTAAAGGGTACAGCTTATTCTGACCAATGAATGATAAAGCATTAGAAATACTATTGGGCTGTGAGACATTCATCCAGACTGATTCATTGTGGCAGTCACCAGAGAAATCCTGGACAGAGTTGAATGAACTGAAGATTTCCTTTTTTGAGACAGGACACAAAAGGAAAGCTTATCCAGACACAAATATATTCCTCAACACATTCCAATAAGGCTATGGAAATGGGAGGCGAATGCCTCTTAAACTGGCTACCTACAGGTCAAGCTACAATTCCAAGGGCATGACAAAAGTCTTTTCAACAGCTTACTCCTTATGACAAAACACCCTTCCCCTGAAACTTGCCAAACGTAAGAGTCCTACAGAGGGGCACAGGCTGGCCTCAGCTCTGCACACACCAGCCACCATGCCTCCTTAAGTTATTGCCTAGCTGGGCAACAAGAATACAGATAAGCATTCTCTCCCCTGGCTTGCTAGCTTTCCACCCTTTCTCATGATGGGCCAGAGGCAGGAACAGATGATCTCGAGACCTATCCAGTTGAATGTCCACACCCCCTTCCCTGAAAAACCCTGTTGGAAGAATTCTAGGAGACAAGAAGGTAGTTAAAGAGGGCAACTGTTCCAAATTCACTTTTCCTATCCCCAGGGCCATTTTCCACCAGCTGCCCTGAGGGAAGGCTCCTGACCGTATTTTAATTTACTGATATATGTAAATGTTCATCACTGTTGTGCTCTTTTTACATGACATGTAAGCTGGGATATGTATCCTGAAAAGATGGCACAGGGATAACCGCAATAAACAAATAATAAAGAACAACATTTAACAGCAATGAAGTGAGGCACACGTGCATTTAGGTGCTGCGCTAGTGAATGCTGCTACGTGTTCTCAACGTGTTAGAATCCAGTCGGGAATTCCGGAAGCGGTTAAAATTCAACCACGTTGGGGCTACACGTCAGACTAATTAAGAAACACACTTAATAGGAGTCGCTTCTCACAAAGGCCACTGCGTAGCTTTCCAGGAGACTTTGCTGAGAGGGGATGAGAGGGGTTACCTGTCTGAGAAGGGATGTCAGTGCCTAGGCTGGTCTCCCCTACAGGCCACCAAAGCGCTGGCAAGCAGTCATCCGGCAGCTCCAAGTTTGCCCTCCCCCACGAGGAAACCGAAAGGGTCGCCTCCTAAATACATGCCGCGACTAAGGAGATGAGGGGAGGTGCGGAGAGCTCGCCGGGAGCTGCCGAGAGAGAGACGGGGGAGCGGATGCCCCAGGGAGCCGCGCGCCCGCGATGACGCGCCATCTGCTGCCCCGGCAGGGAAGGAGGGAAAGCGGCGGCAGGCGGCAGCCTTACCTGATGAAGGTGGTCTTGCCCGTGCTGTACTGGCCCACGAGCAGCACCATGGGCTTGTTCTCGAAGTCCGCGTCCTCCAGCGCGGGCGAGTGGAATTCATGGAAGCGGTAGTGCTCCTCCAGCGGGAGCAGCTTCTTGGTGTACAGTTCCTTCAGGCCGCCCGTCACCGTCTCCACCACGTCCTCGCCCTCCCCGGGCCGCTGGCGCCCGGCCTGCTTGCTCAGCCAGCTGAACATCCCGACCGTCCCTTCTGCCCGTGCGGCGGCCACAACCCTACTCGCTCCCCGGGCAGCGCGGAAAGGCCGAGCCGGCTGACGACGGGCCCCGCCCTTCCTCCCGTTCTCCTTCCTCGTCAGGCGGTGCGCCTGCCTCCCCCGGCCGAAGGGGACGCCCAAGGCGGAGGCGGGAATCGGCGCGGCGTCGCTCTTCGGCAGAGCGCCTAGCGGAGCTTGGTTCTGCGAGTCATCTTGCTTCCGTCTACCATCCACGGCCTGCCCCGGCCCGCCCTGCCCTCCGCCGCCCCCTCCCCCGGTCGCCCGCGAAGTGTGGGCGAAGAAGCCGTGGTGACTAGTCCTCCAGCTCACCGGCGCGTTCCCGCTGTCTGGGTGGCTTAGCTGTGGGGAATGGGCCCGGTCTGGCCGTGGCTGGCTGTCACCGCCGCCTCTGCCCACTCACTCTCTGTTGATAGCATGAGGCCAGGAGCTCTCCAAGAGTGGACGAACAAATCTATTTTTAATTAAGACATAATTGGTGGGTGGGAATCCATCCTTCAACCTAATGAGGACTGAGCATGCTGCCAGGCCTGCTAGGAGGCATGAAATCTTGAAGGCGGCAGGAGGAAAGGAGTAACAATCATCCTTCCAAGGACCCTAAAGCCTGAAGAGAGCAGAACTCGTAATCGGTTAAAGTAGCAGTAAAATTAGGGACCGTGGATGTACACATTAAGTGCAATTCTGTCCAAACTACCATGCACTGCTGGGAAGGACAAGTGAATGCACCCTCTTCATCCACTTGTGCTGCTGAACTCAACAGCTTCCTTTCGAACCTGATCAGTCCATTGATTTTGGTGACTGCACTATAGAAGTACACTGCAAGTTCAGGGATAGGTAAGCAGAAGAGTGCTTATTTTGCCATACAACTCAGTAGTCTCATACTGTTGCACCATGGAGCAGATTTCTTATTCTGCCCCTCAGTACAATTTGCTTGTTGGCCCTAAACTTGTCCTGGTTAAGTCTCCATTTGTAACCATTCAGAATACCATAATTTCTGATATAATTGTTGTAGTAGTAAAGGGCACAGTCTTATGCATGTTTAGACAGTAAAAGCCCTGCATGTGTTAGATTGCATCCAAAGAGAATGAGCTATGGAGCAGGAAGAACCCAGTTAGAATAGGGATTCTGACATAAATTGTCCAGGTGGCCTTAAGTTTTGAAGCTGAGCTGTAGTTTCTCATGGTCTGTGAAAGGAGTAGGCTAGTAAACTGCTTTGCAGTAACAGGAAAAACCACAGTGCCACTTTTGTGATTATTTATTTATTAGATTTATACCCAGCCATCATCTTTTTTAAAAAAAATAGCAGGTTCTTGCCTCCTCTCTCAATATTATCCCCACAACAACAACCCTGTGAGGTAGGCTGGGCTGAGAATCTGTGACTGGCCCAAAGTCACCCAGTTGGCCCCATGTTGAGTGAAGACTAGAGTCCCACTCCCATGTTTTTCACCACTACACCACACTGTCAGTGCCCCACAAGTGCCCAATGGCATATCTGAAACTGATTGGTTGTCCCATACCATGATTGTGAGCTATATTCAGCTTGCTATAGATGTTTTGCCATTTCACTTTTTTTTTTTTTACCTTGGGACTGAAAACTGGATTGACAGCTAGCTTTTATAACCCCCAGTTTGGTAGCCCCTTCAAAATGCCTGAATGGCATATTAGAGGGACTCTCTGTGGTTGGCAAACATATAAAAAACCTTATTTTGGACATTTAGTTGCACCAAGATTTTAGCCCTTTTTGATTTTTAGCTGCACTTGTGCGTGACAAAACTGAGGCAACTCAATGGGGTAATGTGTGGAAGGGGATTCTTGTTATCAGAGTGCAGCAGGTACAAACTGTGTACACTGTCCCAGAAAGTCTCCAAATGTTTTGTTTTGTTTTGTTTGCACAGAGATGTATGCAGTAATATGTTCCAGTCAGAAACAACAGATGCACTATCAAACTCTTTTAAAGATGACTAAGAGATTTGACAGCTAGCTGTCAAAACTGCTTTTTCCTAGTAAAGCGGGGTCAAATGCACTTTTGTACTTTCCTGAGCAGCTGAGGACTGTCAGAGCAAAATAATAATAATAATAATAATAATAATATAATAGCATTGTAAGCCACAAGAAGTTTTATTCATAGTGTATTTTTGCCATAACATGTTCAAAGCACTTCAGGAGGCTTCCAGGAGACAAGTTCTGCATGCATATATTACAGAACAAGATACCTGTGCTAACTATAATAATTAAAATAATAGTTCTGTGTTTACATTTGTTTCATCTTTTTATTACATTATTATATTGTCCAGTTAGAACAAATTGGGCCATGTCTTTAATACCTTTTGATTAGTTTTACTTTCCTTCTGGAATAAGGTGCTTCTATTATTTCATAAAGCTGGACAGTATGTGAAAGGTTTGAGTCTATTTATGTTATAAAATTCAGATATTATAACCATGGATGAAGCTGCTAACTTTTTTCAGTTTGCCTTTTCCGTTCTACAGCTATACGCAAAGCATTAATTATCATATCTTTGTTGTTTTCTATGTTGTACTGACTCAGTTTTACCAGCTTTTCAAAATCCTCCTCAGAATAGCGCAACGTATTTATATCATAAGGAGAAAAGACACTAGTCATATCAATAATGCCATCTGCCGTTTCCTCAGGACTACGTTTTATACCTATGATTTAAAAAAGAAATGAATTGTGTTAGTTTATTTATTGTTAATATTTATATATCTCTTCATTTGCTAAAAAGTCAGGAAGGCAATTTAAATATCTTAAAAATATTTAGCATCTTGAAACAATAAAAACAGGACCATTAAAACTACACAAAGTTAGTTTGAAAAGTTTAATGGAAAAGTACATCTATCACCCTTTCTAAAAGCCTATAGACCAGAGGCCAGTCATAGCTCTTGAGTGAGCACATTCTATATTGAGAAGGCAGTTGAAGAGAAAGCATATTCTGCTTTATTTAGGCATGCCTGATAAACTGGCTTCTGCAGTTAGTGGTATCCTCAAACAGGCTTCTCCTGAGTATCTTAATCCCTGGACAAGTTAATAGCAAGAGAGGCAGTCTCTTACATGGCCAAGTCCTGAACCATTTAGGGCTTTAAAGGTTAAAAGCAACAAGGAGTGTTTGCATAAAACTATTTTGAATGTCTTGGCCATTATCACAAAATGACTGCCATGGAGAGGATGGCAAAGGAAAAATAACCTGCCAACCGAGTACAAAGCAGAAGTAGAGCCAGAGCTGGAATGCATTAAACAACTTATTTGAACCCACAGAAACTTATTTTACAGGAAAGTCACTTTAGCGGGTTTCAGAAAGTTTGTGGGGAGGGAGTACACTGGTGCCTATTCCTGCTGTAAGTGTAATTCCATTTGAAAATACTTTCATTCTAGCCATCCCAAGTTCCTTTCTTGTTTCCCTTTGAACCAACCAACTCCTTTAATTCTCTTATTTTGGCAATCAAAGAACAAAGTCATTGTAATGCACAGAAATAAAAACAAAACGAAGAATGAAAGCATATGTAGACTTACCAGGTGCTTTGTACTCTCTGAAGGAGCTGGCAACTAAGGGGAAAAGAAGCACTAATGGAATTTCAGCACCTTCTTGTTCGCCTATCAAGTAGCATTCTTTTAACTCTTTTTCTTCTTCTTTGCTTGGGACATTTTTTGGAAATGGAATTCCTTGTTCTGAGAAATATTCAGAAGCTTCTATCAGAGCCTATAAAGTTACATGGGTAAAAATGTACAAACAAAATGTTAAAATTGGAAACCTTGCTTGATAAAGAGAGGAAAGTCTTTTTTCACATATCTGTAGCTATTGCTCGATCTACATTTGTGGAATCTGTAGTTTCCTGTCTCATTGAACCCCAACAACTTTGTTTACTTATAATATGTTCCAGCAGTGCTGCAGCAGTATACTTTGCCTATGTTCAGGTTACTTTAAGCAAAAATCATAAGGCTCTCAAGCCTGTAGCTATCTCACTCAGAAGACTTTAATTGTTTCGGAAATTCTGCCAGCTCCCCAGGGAGAACCGTCAAAGGTTTTGGAAGGAAAGATGCTAATAAGCTTGCAGGGTAGTTTGAGGACCTGGGGGAATAATTCCCCCATCTCCCTTTGAATATGAAGCCTTCCTCAACACCCAGAAATTCAATTTCTGTGCTGAATAAATAGGATGGTAGGAAGGTGCAAAGCCACAGGAGAGAACTCCAGAAGCCCTTAGGTGGCAAACTGAACAGTTCAGGAAATTTAAAGTAGTATCCAAGAGTATCTCAGTACTAGCACTAATTATGTTGTGCCAGCAGAAACCAATATTTGTACAACAGAACTGCTTTTCCTCGTTAAGATATACTGATTGCAGAAACATTGGTTATGTTACAAACACTAGTAGCATTGGAGGAGCTCACCACTGGATTTTTCCCTAAGTCTGTCATTTCATATATCTTCTTGTAGCAGCAGTCAAAGCAAAGTGCCTAGGAGCAAGTCTCCTGTGTACAGGGTGTGAAAGCAGCAGAAACTGCTGTTTCATGTGTATCCAGAAAATGCTATGCATGATGGATACCATGCAAACCACATCCTCCAGAAAAACTGTATTTGGTTGGTACATACAAATTCACAAAAAAACAATATTAGTTGGTGGAACTAACAGGTACAATGTGAATAAAACAGGTGAAATATTTCTTTTCTCCTATTTTCACCACTTATCTTAATTTCCATAAAATGGAAAAATAGTGTGAGTTTGGATAGTACTTGTCAGTGTTCCCATCTCATAGTCCTGAAAATGCTGGTAGCAGAAGAGGAAACAACTGCAAAATACAAGATTCTAATGGAAGAGAAGGCAGTGAGTTCCTTTTTGTATCAGAAAACTAGACATGAATAACTGAATTATACATGCAGCTGTTACTGCAGATGGAAAGCTGTGTCTGAGTCTTCTCACCTCCAACTGTGATCCTGTACTGTAATTTAAATGTATGATGAGATCTACGTTTCTCTCAGGCCTCATGAGTGGTGGATAGCTACTTTGCAAGGCAAATGCATTATCTATCAAATACAGGAAATCTTCTGCCCCTGTTAGCTGGTTAGGAAAACTGTCAAGGTCACAGTCTAAAAGAAATAAATATATTGTCAAAAGTAGTCTGGCTACTTCAGAAAAAGTAAAGAAACAGAAAACAGTGCAAACATAGTCCTTTCCATGTCCATGCTCATGACATTTCAACAGCTCTTCCATCTTCATTCCTCAAGCTGCTGTCTTCTGGTAATTTGAAAACTAAGTCCCTTTTCCATCTGGGAGAAGTGTAAACAGTCTTTAAACAGGTTGGACCTTAACCACAACAAGCCACATCCAGCCTGTTTGGAGTCCCAGATCTGGCCATCTTGATTCCACAGAGAAACACTCCCATTTCATCTTGGTTGTTTAGTAGTTTTTCCAGCTTTTATATGTGCTCCCCTTCCTTTCTAAAACACTGAAATAACACTCCTCAGGCAATAAAAGCTTCAGGCTAAAATATGCTAGAATGGAGAGGGGGGAATGCTCCACCCTTTCCCTTTCAACTCTACATGTCAATGTGGCCCCAAAAAGTTTCCCCAAAATGGTATTTGGCCTCAGGATAAAAGCTCAACACATCTGTCCTAAAGACTTCTGCTATACTAGTGCTTCAGGTATTTGCCATACAAGCTATTCAGAGGAAGTCTTTATTAGAGTTTGCAATACCTTTCCAGTTTGAAAATTCACTCTCTAGATACTTGTTGTGCATTGGGCAGCCTTTCAAAAAATTGGGGACTACTGAAACTGCAGGACGCCACGTAATTATATCTTGAAAAACATTGGCAAGGCTGTCTGGAGGACTCTGCATACGAGTTGGTAGTTTATATGCCTGCATGTAATGAAAATACTCATCTGCAGAAGAAAAAACACACATGAATGCATCAGTTGTATTTATTTTCTCCATGCTAGTCCTTCACAGGACACATATGTGTTTCTTAAAAATTACATGATTTCCTTTTCAGATTTCTTTTTTCTTTGTCTCTAGCCTGATTAAAATCTCAGATTACTGGCTCAGGCTGATCTGTACATTTTTTTCTTTTTGTCAACATTATAACAATAACAAATGAAAAAACAAAAAAGCTAGAGAACCAGTCATAAAAATAATCATACCCAATAACAATGGACATCACCAATAAAATATTGATAATATTGCTATTCTTGTTAATAATGATAAAACTATTGATATTGGTAGCAGCAGCAGCAACAGGAATTAAGTCTGAAAGACCAAGGAAAAGTGTGAGTGCACAGAGGGTAAGTTGTAAGCAAGTCCAGTCTGTGCCATTACTTACAGGCATCACTGATTAAGAGACATTTATCTGCTAAGCCATTCATCTTAGTTTCTCATTTCTTGGCTTTTAGGAATTTGAGCTAAGGAGAGATACCCTTGACTCTGGTCCTTTTTAACAGACTTTTTTTCTGTCACTGAAGAAAAAGGAAGCTGAAAGCAAATTCTATTTTATGGGTTATTTGTGCAACGTAACATTTTTCTGCATCATGTAGATTAGCTTTCCTTAGCCTCCAGATGTGTTGACTATAGCTCACAGGGCTGCAAGTTGTAGTGTAACACTTTTGGAGGGCACCAGCTTCAGGATCACCTGATGTGGAGAATCTCCACTTCCATTCCATTCACATCACAGAAAAGGTATCAACCACCATGTGGCCAAGTGCTACTATCTCTGTGTGATACCCATCTTTAATGCAAATATTATCATGGAAACCAGCAAAGATCCTGCCTTGATTTCAGGTGTTAAGTGTCCTGATCAGCATGCTCATCACTTATGGTTGGAAGTTTCCATTCTTTTACAGCCCCATCCTATATGTGTCTATTCAGAAATAAATACCCACAGAGGTCAATGAGCCTCTCTCCCTGGTAACTGAAAATAGGACTTTAGCTATAATGCTGAAATCTTTGTGTGTGTCCCCCACCCACTTATGCTGACTGTAAGTGCTAGTGAAAGAATGGGATATGTTATATATTTAATGGTAATTTATTATGTACTATTGTATTTCAATGTATTTTATCATGTTGTAAGCCACCCCGAGGTTTCGGCAAGGGGCGGCATAGAAATGTTATAATAATAATAATAATAATAATAATAATAATAATAATAATAATAATAAAAACATCTCTTTTAAAATGAGGTATTGAGGCCTGAGGTACCTTCCCGCAAAACCTCTACACCAACATGGTTTTGTTTCATGATCATCATATCAGTTTTAATAGTACGAGGGAATGTTTGGTAGGTCTGAGAAAAGCATTGCTGAATTACTTTGTATGAAACTGTGAAAAGAGCCAGTTCGTATGTTTAGGGATGCTTCTGATATTCTCTTTAAAGTGTAAAAAAGTGGATACTGTTTCATAGTTTCTGAGAACCAGGATTGATTGCAGCTCCCAGCTAGTTGCAAACCTGAGTTTGCTGCCATCTAATGTCTTTTAGCAACATTTTTTGTTTGTTTTAAAGATTTGTAGGCCACTTTTTAGTGCAGATTTAAAAACCCAAGAAAACACAAAATAACAACAAGAAAAAGATAACACTGATTTGGTAACAACAGATTATTAAACTATAATCAAAACATTGATTAAAAAACACAAATGACAGAAATGAATGACAAAGCAGAACCAAAAAGCAATAATTTCCTGAAGCCTAAAGAATAATATGATTTGAAAAAAGTGATGTAAAAAGCAATGTAAATGTCCTTTGCTAGCTGATAAAAGTGAAGAAAGATGAAGGTGGATGAGTTTGCAGAGTAAGGAAGTTTCAGAGGCTAGGGACCATCACCATAAAGGTCACGTCCTTCATTTCAGCTACACTTCAGGTGGTGGTGAGACACAGAGCAGATCTTCCCCATTCAATTTCAAAGGGCAGAAAGGATCATGTGGGATCAGACAGCTGTGCAGACATTCCAGACTTGAACTGTTTTGGACTTTCAGAGTGATAATTAGCCCTTTGCATTGGACTTTAATGCACAGGAGCCAGTGCAGGTCAACCAGTAATGGAGTTACATGCTTTGAATAACAAACTGTCATCAATCTGGTAACAGCATTTTGCAAAAGCAGCAGTTTCCAAACAGTTTTCAAAGGCAGCCTCACAATGCATTGAAATGGGTGTACTGGAACATGTCCAAGACAGTCTGAGGCAACATCTGCCTTTTCTAATAAATACACAACTAGCACAAAAGCTGAAGTTATGCAAAAAATGTCCTTGGCCATTCACTATCTGAATGTAAGGCAGCACTCTGAAGCTGTGAACCTGATTCTTCACATGGAATGCTAGCCCATCCAAAGCAGGCTCTGTCAATGACCCTGAACTAGCTTTCCTATTGGTCAACAGCACTGCCATTGCATGTGGATTGATTAACTCACACCCGATCCATTACAGATCCTGGACACTAGTTTAGAACCTCTATTTCGGCGAATGGGGCGGCATAAAAATGTTTCAATAAATAAATAAATAAATATTTCCTTCCTGGAATCTGATGGAGAGGAACAATAGAATTGGGTGTCAATCACACATTGGGAATACTTTACTGGTTTTGTGTGGAAGTTAAATAGTACAGGGGGACAAGGTGGAATCTTGACCTTCAGAAGCTAGTACTGAAGTATTCAGCATTTTTTTTTTTTTTTGGCATTTCATGGACCTCTGCAACCTCAAAATCAAATCAGTCTTCGGAAAAAGTGAAATTCTAAGACCTTTTGCAAGGGTGTAAAGCTTACCTTTTACCTATAGTAGGTTCCTCCACATGTATTACTTCTTTTTACTCAAACAAAAAAGCCGAGTAGCATCACTGTTCCCACACAGTGCCACCAGAAGGCTACCCTAGCTACTCTCTGGCATGTTGCACCCTGACTCATGAAGGTCATTAGAATTTCTCATCCCAAATCTGGCCAAAGATCACCCCCTCACACACTTTCACAGAGGACAAATAGTCCTATAAAAGCTGGGTCTTTGATAGAACCCTACTATAAGAACATGGCCAAGGTCCAGAATGATAGCCCCCAAACACTACCTTCTACAAGCTACCCTTCAGGTAGAATTGGGACCTGCATGACACAGTTCCCTTCCAGTCCTAATCCAGCTAGTCTACCCAGAAATGCATGACAGCAATTGTATTGCTAAAAGGGGCCAACAGAACTGACAAGGACACAACTTCCCTTCTCTATCTCCCTGTGACCAGTTTCACTTTCAAAACTAGGTTGGGAATCAGACTGAAATAGGCTTCTTCTGATTAGTTTATGTGGAATAGTTTGCAGCAAGGCTTCAGAAAGACTGTAAAGTATCCATATCATTCAGGAATACAGAAACAGAAATGTCCACAGCAAAGCAGAAGTAAAATAAAACTGTCACTTGCCAATGTCAGTTACTCTGTCTCGGGTCCATATCTGCCAAAAATCCTCTTCACTAACAGCCTGAAACCACGCATCCATCAGATTCACAGAAAATACACTACTCCAGATACCTGTGATAAGGGAAAAATTGAATGGAAGTAATTTGTGAAGTTTTAATATTATTGATGAAATGTGATTTTTTTTCCTGCATCAACCTACTAACAAACAAACATTTGGGAACAATTTTGTGCTTTTTTTCAGATTTTACTTTGCATGAATAAGGGCACAATCCTATGGTCCTCTGCCACTTTCTGGAGAAACATGATTATTTGGAGTCCAGTAGTGAGTTCTTCTCAGGTTCTCTGAATACAGTCCCCACTCCCCTTGCCCTGCCTTACTCCCAGCTGTCACAGAAAGAACTGTGTTGGAAATTGACCCCAGGGAGGGCTAAAAGGATATGCCAGGGAATGGGGAAGCAAATAGTGAAAGAGGTCCTCAGCTTCCTTTCTTACCTCTGTGCAGCACTTTATCTACAAAATGCAGGCCATAATGTTCAAAAATTACTCCTGCTTCACCTTGTGTCCTGCTTTGAATGGATGTAAGTTTATTAGTTTGGAGGCTTATGGGCATCAAGGATGGACCATATAGGATCTTGCCTTAATTTTGGTTATACTGCTGTACTATCCAAAAGGATGAAATACAGCTTAAAGGTATTATTAATAAATGAATTATATTTGAGATGTTCATTATGCAGAATGTCCAAGTTTATGTGTGCTATGAGACAGGATCTTTTTGGTTCAAATTGTACCTTAGCCATAATTCCACTGGGTGCTATAGGCAAGCTACTGTTCTTTCAGCCTTCTGTCTAGGATAAGGGGTTAATAATATTGGCTTACATTATGAAGCTGTTCTCTAGAAAAAAAGAGGACTGCTTTGCCAAATGTTCTCCAACATTGTTTCTCACAATACCCCAGAACACTGCTGGTCTCACTGTTCTCAGTGCTAGTACTAATAATGTAGGACAAGCCATTGTTTGTACAGTGTAACCAAAGCTTGCTAGTGTAATGTGGATTGCTAGTGTAAAGCTTGCTAGTGATGCTGTTTGGGACCATTCGGGGCTGAGCAGGGGCTGGGCTGGCCAGGGTCTTTGTTGTTGGCCGGTGGGTGGGATTGGTTAATGTGGGCAGCGGGGATTGTGGGTGTGTTTTTAAGTGTTTTAATGGATTCATCTCTGGCTTTGAGTATGGGGTTGCCTGGGGAGCATGTAGGCGCTGCCATTGGGGTGGTTACAGGCAATGGACGTTATGGCGTTGGGGCTTAATGAGTCTGCGTAGAAGAAGGAGGGACAGATAGTTAACACCTGTTCCTCTTTCTGGTTATTCCCCCAGCCAGCGGGTTCCAGGTAGGCTTGTCAACCGCCCTCCGGGCCTGTTGGTGCTGTTGCTTAATGGCAGGTCAGTCCAAAATAAGTCATCACTCATCCACGACCTGATCGTGGATGAGGGGGCCGACCTGGCTTGCATTACAGAGACCTGTGCAGGAGAGGGGGGGGGATGTCTCCCCAGCACCGACCACACCTGGAGGGGATGGGAGGGGAGTCACTTTGGTTTACCGAGCCTCTATTTCCCTCACGGGGCTTCCTGTTCTCTCGAGGCCGGGTCTAGAGTGCCTCTACTTGGTGTTGGGCGACCGAGACAGATTGGGGATTCTGTTGGTGTACCGTGCACCCTTCTGCCCAACAGACTCCCTGCCTGAGCTGATGGAGATCATTTCGGACTTGGTGTTGAAGACTCCCAGGATGTTGGTCCTGGGGAACTTCAATCTCCACGCCGAGACTGTTCTGACTGGGGCGGCTCAGGACTTCATGGCCTCCATGACGGCCATGGGGCTGTCTCAGCATGTCACTGGCCCGACCCATGAATGTGGACACACTCTGGACTTGGTTTTCTCGATGGGACAGGAAGAGGGGGATCTGAGGTTGAGGAACTTGTGTCTGACACCCCTATCATGGTCAGATCACTTCCTCATGAGGTTTGTGCTCGAGAGCAGCCTTTCCCTCTGTAAGGGTGCAGAGCCGATTGTGTTGGTCTGCCCCCGGAGCCGGATGGATCCAGATGGATTCCTGAAGGCCCTGGGGGAATTCCCGGTTGATAAGGCTGGTGCTCCTGCCGATGCCTTGGTCGAACTTTGGAATGGGGAAATGACCAGGGCTATTGACACGATTGCTCCTAAGCGTCCTCTCCCACCTGGCAGAGCCCATTCATCCCCCTGGTATACACCTGAGCTACAGGTGATGAAGTGGGTTGGGAGATGTCTAGAGCGTAGGTGGAGAAAAATCACGGGATGAATCTGACCGAACACACTTAAGAGCCCATTATCGGGCCTGTGCTGTGGTGGTGAGGGTGGTGAAGAAGAAATTCTTCTCTGCTTCCATTGCCTCCTCACAATGCCGTCCGGCGGAGCTCTTTTGGGTGGTACAGGGGCTGGCTCATCCAGGCCCAAAAAAAAGATCCCATGCCACCCTCAATGGCCCGCTGTGACGACTTCACCAAGCATTTCAAGGAGAAAATCGCTCAGATTTGTCACGAGCTGGACTCCACTAGTGACTCAGAATCTTCGGGGGAGGTGCCAATGTTGCCGTCTGGTGCAAAATTGATGGATGCATTTCAGTTGTTGCGGCCTGATGATGTGGACAAGGTGCTTGGACAAGTACGTCCTACCACCTGCTTACTGGACCTTTGCCCATCTTGGCTACTCAAGAAAGCCAAGGATGGGATAGGGACTTGGATCCTGGAGGTTGTCAACGCCTCACTAAAGGACAGCTGGGTACCTGCCCCTTTAAAGGAGGTGGTAGTCCGGCCAGTCCTAAAGAAGGCATCCCTGGATCCAGAAATGGCCGCCAATTATAGACCGGTGGCCAATATCCCATTCTTGGGCAAGGTGTTAGAGCGTGTGGTGGCGGGACAACTCCAAGCACTCTTGGGTGAAACTGATTATCTGGACCCGTTTCAGTCCGGCTTCAGACCTTTGCAGTGGTTCCACTCCTATGTCAATGGCCAATTCCAGAAGGTGGTGCTGGGGGACTATGGTTCTGCGCCATGGCAGTTATGCCATGGAGTTCCACAGGGGTCCATTTTGTCCCCCTTGCTATTCAGCATCTACATGAAACCGCTGGGAGAGGTCATTAGGAGGTGTGGGCTGTGGAATCATCAGTACGCTGATGATACCCAGCTCTACCTCTCATTTTCAACCAATCCAGGTGAGGCAGTGGCTGTACTGAACCGGTGCCTGGCCGAGGTAATGGGCTGGATGAGGGCCAATAAACTGAAGCTCAATCCAGACAAGATGGAGGTCCTGTTGGTAGGTGGTTCGGGCTTCAGGGTGGGGGACCTGGACCTTGTCCTGAATGGGGTTGCACTCCCTCTAAAGGACAGGGTCCGCAGCTTGGGAGTGCTCCTTGACCCTGAGCTGTCATTAGAAGCTCAGGTGACGGCGGTGGCAAGGAGCTCTTTCCTTCAGCTTTGGCTGATCCATCAGCTGTGTCCCTACCTGAAGAACGATTGCCTGGTGACAGTGACACATGCACTGGTAACTTCCCGATTAGACTTCTGTAACGTGCGCTACGTGGGGCTACCCTTGAAGACGGTCCGGATACTTCAATTGGTGCAAAACAGAGCTGCCAGGTTGCTGACGGGGACTGGGCATTGTTCTCATATAACCCCAGTTCTCCATCAGCTTCACTGGCTCCCCATTGAAGTCCGGGCCCAATTCAAGGTGTTGGTTATCACTATAAAGCCCTCAACAGCTTGGGACCTGGTTATCTAAAGGAACGCTTGCATCCATATATGCCCTCCCACCCCCTGAGATCAGCAGCAGAGGCCCTTCTCTGGGAACCCTCTGTGAAAGAAATTAGGAGGGTGAGTACCTGGAGGAGGGCCTTCTCTGCGGTGGCACTCCACCTATGGAATGCGCTCCCCAGAGAGGTCTGCCTGGCACTGTTGTTATTTGTTTTTCGGCGCCAGGCCAAGACCTTTAAATTTAAAAGTTATTTTAATTGTTCATTTATGAACTGTATTTATTGGGTTTTTATGTACGTGCTGAGATGTTTCCAGTTTTTAAAGTCTAATTATATAACTGTTTAGTTATGTTTGTTTATTAATGTTGTAAGCTGCCCCAAGGCTTTTTGCGAATGGGGCAGCATAGAAATGGTTTAAATAAATAAATAAATAAATAAATAAATAAATAAAGGGGAAAAACAATGATGATTTATATTTGTGCAACACTATTAGTGCTAGCATTGGGACACAGTTGGATACTACCAGGTCTGGACCATTAGGGGGAAGATGAAATGGTGGCCAAGATGTCAGCATGGTTGCCAGTGCCATTACTTGCAGCAACAGCAACAACATACCCCTGCCCCCACAAAAAAAAGGAAAAAAAATGTCAATGCTGATCTGCCCAAGTCAAGTCAAGCCAAGACAAGACAAACCAAAACCATTGGAGAAGTTCTCTCATTTGGAAAATATTTGGAAAATTGTCTCCCCAATTGCACTACCACCAAATACAGTGAATGATTAACAGAAGGAACTTTTGCTCATCTGAACAAACTTCTACAATATTTAATATCGTGAGTTCATTATATCACAACATTATATAGGGATATGCTTATAAACAAAACTTGAGCACAGCAAAGTTCTTCAAATTCTGTCCTGAAGTTTGTTCTGCCTGATGTCTGTATCAGGTAATGATATTTGTTTTCTTTCCTTTTTGCATGAACATTTTTATGGATTTGTATTGATTTTTCTAAATATATGCATTGCTTGTGCACATCTTTGTGTGTTTTTTCAAGAGTACACTTTTTCATGCACATAAATCTACAACATGCTTCTTCTGCATGCATTTTTGGTCCAGAAATCACATTGCAAACTGAGTAATTATGGACTTTGCCTACAGATTGTATTTAAGAGGTGTGAACTAACCAAAATCAAACTGAAATGTATTATTCATACCTTTCATACATCATATAAATACACATTGCCATCTCAGTAAATAAGAATAGAACATATAATCTGCTCTGTAATAATCGTTTATAAGGTACCCCTAAGGCAGCAGTTCTATCATAGAATCATAGATTAGTATTCCAGATGAGGCCCAATGAGTGCTGAGGAAGGGGGAACTAGTACTTCACTTGATTTTGAAGTGATACTTATATTAATGCAGCCTAAAATAGCATTTGCTTTTTCTGCAGCCGTATCATATCATTGACTTGTATTCAACTTGTGATCTACAACAATTCCAAGAACTTTCTCACTTGCACTATTTTTGAGCCAAGTATTCCTCATCTTGGAACGTTGCATTTGGTTTCTTTTCCTAGGTGCAGAACTTGGCATTTGTCCCTATTGAGTTTCATTCTGTTGTTTTCAGCCCAAAGCTCCAACTATCAAGGTCACCTTGAATCTTCTTTCTATTTTCCAGACTATTAGCTGTCCCACCCAATTTTGTATCATCCGCAGATTTCATAATTGCTCCCCACACCTCTTCATCTGAATCATTAATGAAAATGTTGAAGAGCACTGGGCCCACGACTGTGCTATCCCACTTGTTACCTCTTTCCAGTTTGAGAAGGTACCATTGATGAGCACTCTTTGAATTCTGTTCTGTAATCAGCTTTGGATCTTGTTGTTCCATCTAGCCCATTTTTGCTAGTTTGCTGTTCAGGATATCATGGGGCATTTTGTCAAAAGCTTTGCTGAAGTCAAGATATATTATGTCCACAGTCCATCAGGAGGTTACTCAATCAAAAAATGAAATCCAATTAGTCTGGCAGGATTTGTTCTTGAAAAATCCATGTTGGCTTTTGGTAATCACTACATTGTTTTTAAAGTGTTTGCAGACTGACTGCTTTATAACCTGCTCCAGAATTTTCCCAGGGATTGATGTCAGATCGACTAGGTTCTTCCAAGTTCTTATTCTTTTCTTTCTTGAAGATAAGGACAATATTTTCCCCTTCTCCAGTCATCTGGCAGTTCCCCTGTCCTTCATGATTTCTCCATGATAATAGACAGAGGTTCTGAGAGTTCTTCCACCAACTCCTTTATGACTCGAGGATGGAGTTTATTGGGCCCAGGTGATCTGAACTCATTCAGCCCAATTAGATGATCTTGACTATTTGACTATCTGTGATAGATCATTTGCTGATCAATCATCCTGCCCCTCAGCTTGTACTTCTCCTTCATCAGGAAGGTTATAGATCTTTTGGAAGAAGAATGAGACAAAGTAGGAATTGAACACTTCTGCCTTTTCTTTGTCATCTGTTCTCATTTTGCCATCCACACTGAGTAGTTGATCATTTCTTAATTTGGACATATGTTCAGAAGACTTTTTTGTTGCTTTTAGCATCCCTAGCTAGCCTCAGTTCATTCCTACTTTAGCCTTCTGGATGCCCATCCCTGCAATTCCATGTTACTTGGCTATATTCTTCCTTTGTAGCCTGTCCTTCCTTTCACTTCCTATACATATCCTTTTCTGTTTTCAGATAATCTTTAAGCTCTTTGTGAAACCACAAGGGTTTCTTTTGTTTTACCCTTTTTTCCTTGTTGGAATTGCTTGCAATTGTGCCTTTAGAATTTTTCTTAATTCCCTCCCATCTTGGACTCCTTTTCTCATGACAAGTCCCACATGCCATGGGACTTTACTTATCATTGTTTTGAGTTTATTACAATTGGCTTTCTTAAAATCCAGGATACAGGTTTGGATACATTTGGCTTTTGCTTCTTTTAGAATCAGTAATTCAAGTATGGCATGGTCACTTGCCCCCAGAGTTCCTGTAGCTGCCACTTTGTCCACTAGGTCTTTCCTATTGGTTAGTATCAAGCCAAGGATAGCTGTCTCTCTAGTTCCTTCCTCCACTTTCTGTTGGAAGAAGTTATCAATGACACATGTTAGGAATCTCTTGGAAGGGCCATGATTAGCAGAATTTGTCTTCCAACCGCTATTGGGGAAATTGAAATCCTCCATAACCTCTGTTTCCTTCAGATGAGCTCCCTCAGATTTACTGGGGCTTACTTTTGTGAAGACATGCATAGGACTGGATTATTAGGAGGCCAGTTCAGTAAGACTCCAAAACAATTTTAAACCTACCATCACCGTTGGTACAAATACAAAATACATCCCCAAACATATACATATGGCTTATTGGGGAAAAAATCTATTTACTAACAGCAAGGAAATAAGGAGATATAACATGTCCATAAACAATGAGGACACAGTGCAGACACAATTATGCACTTTTAAGCCCCATTCAGTACACTGGGTATGAGTTAAGCACAATCTTAATTGGAATGTGCTTAACAATGGATGCTTTCTATCCCAAGCAAGTTAGGCTTTTTATATTGTATTTTATGAAGGCACAGGCTTCTATAGAAAGGGTAATGCATAATGACTTATGCATTGTTTCACATCAGAAATTCATGTATACAGAGCAATCTGTTATTTGCTAGGGCTGTGTATATTTCTGCCTCAAACTCCCCAAAATATCCCTGAATGTAACTATATTTATCTTTTTTTAGAGTTCAAGCTAATTGCCATCTCATTTATGCCTTTTATCTTTTGGTCAAAGATGTTATGACTACTGTTTCACCTGTGAAACTAATAGCATGTCAGCATCCATGCTCATCAATGTTTTAATCAAGAATTAAATTACCTTCCAAGAAGCTGATCCGTGATTCTGGGATTTTCTTCATCAAATGGCCCATGAAGAATTCACTGCCAAAATGTTCAGCACGGATATAGGCTCCATATTTTTGAAACCCCACCTCATACGGAGTGAACTCCAGCCATTCTAAAAAAAAGGGGGAGCATAATAGAATAATGCTGTAGTAATGTTCCATAGTTAGAGAGAAATTTTTCTCAGATTAATTTTGTAGAATCTTCCACTGGATTTAAGTAACAGGCACATATAACTCATGTAATACAATGTTGTACACACCTAAAAATTAATAAGCAGAAATGCAGAGGGCAGAGAAAGAAGTGGCAGATGATCCACCACTTCCAAGGTCCTATCAGCTTTGCTTGGCCAAATAGATGGGGTATACTTTTTCAAATACAGGCTTGATGGATCCTTATTTTGATTCCCACTTTTGAAACCAATTCACAGGGCATGGTTGACATAGTTGTTCAGTCTGACCCTGGAGTCCCTTGGGGAATGAATGAGTTTTGGATCCAGTACATCTAAGTCTGCCTCCAACACTCCTGCCCCACTAGAACATATGGTCTTGGGGCCCAGCACTGGCAGACACACTGCAAGTCATAGATCTATGCCCACAAAACTTTTTGCAGGTATATCAGGTTGCCCCCTCTCTTGCATGCATGGCATATTGTAGTAAGGGGATTTGGGAGTGTCAGAGATACCAAGTGGAAGTCCAGATTCTCTCACTAGGCTGGTCTTCTAATATGGTTATCCAAGCTGGAATGGTCAAAGCTGAGACACCAGACTAAGATACATCCACCCTCTACAGGAGGAATGGTCACATCAGCAGAAAAGAATGGATAGCTAATGGTGATGGGGACAGAGAAACTCCTAAAAGGCAGCTACTGGGCAGCAGCAATAGCTGAAGATGACACTAGTGGAGGATCTTTCACAGACAACATCAGTGATGCTCAAGCCAACTCTGGTTAGTACTGCACAGAAGAAAGCAATTGAAAACCACTTCTGAATTTTCTTGCCTTGAAGTATCTATGATGAAACAATTCAAAATGAAAGAAAAAGTGCCAGGAGATTAATCTCTCAGGTTGGAAGGTACTCAATCAGCTACTGGAGAAGAGCAAAGGACAAGTACAAATGGAGTTGTTGCTAATGATACAACTAGATCAACACCAAAGGAAGGCTATTGGCCGACATGCACAGAAGTGAAAGGAAAGTCTGATACTGCATAGCACATGCAAGTGGACATGGAATGTGAGAAATATGACTCAAGGCAAATTGGAAACCATAAAGCAAGAAATGGAACATTTAAAACATTGCAGTACTTGTGTGAGCAAACTAGAGGGATGGAATGGGACGCTTTCAGCCAGACAAACACAAAGTATTCTAATCTGGAAACAACAAACTCAGAAGAAACAGAATAGCTCTAATATTGAAACAAGATGTAGCACAGACAGTAAGCAGCTGTAATGCAAAATCTGGCCAAATCATATCAATCAGAATTTGTGGAAAACCTATCAACTTAATCATAATTCAAATCTATGCTCCAACAATGGATGCTGAAGAAGAAGGAATCAAAAATGTCTGTGCAGCTAAGGGGAACTTGATAACACACCAAAACAAGACAAAATTATATGAATGTAAAAGTGGGAAACAAAGCAGAATACAATGATGGAGAATTTGATCTAGGGGGTCAGAAATAAAGCAGGAGGACAAAATAGAATTCTGTGAATCCTACAATCTGTTTATTACAAATGCAAACTTCAGGCCACATGTCAGATGACTGTGCACATGATCAAAGCGAATAGTCAGTACAGAAATCAAATAGGCTATGTGACTGGAATCAGAAGTTGCAGAACTGTATTCTTACTGCCAAAGCAAGGTCAGGAGCAGATTGCAGTAGTGAGCCTGAACTATTAATATAAAAAATATTAATTCAGTGCAAACCTGAAAAAGATCACTAAAAGAAACATAGTATCAAAATACAATTTCAATAACATTCCAGGGAAATTTAAAGTCCAGATAAAGATCAGAGATGCTTTACTGATCTTAACTAACTGTGAAACAGAAGAATCTTGAACTGAAACCAGAGATATTATTAGGGAAGAATGCCAGAAGACGATTCCTGTAGCAAACAGAAACAAAAGCCTAGATGGATGACAGAAGAGCACCCACAGTGGCTGAGGACAAGTAAGAAACAAAAGCAAAAGGTGACAAAAATAGGGACCAAATCCTGAATGTAATTTTTTGGCAACTATCACGTAGACACAAAAAGAACTATTACAATGGCCAGTGCAAAGAAACAGAAGAGAACAACAAAAGAGGAAAACAAGGGACCCCTTCCGGAAGATCAATGGGAAATTCAAAGCTCGATTAAGAATGTTAGAGAAGGTCAAAACAATATATTGATATACATAAGAGATGAAATGATGACAGACTCTTTCAAATTGGAATCTGATGAGGAAGTACCTGTTAGACAGTGAAGTGAAAGCTGCTCTCAAAGCAATTGGAAGGAATAAAACACCCAGAGTAGATAGGATCCCAATAAAACTATTCCCCGCTGCAGGGTCTTAATCTGCCAACAAATATGGAAAACAAAACAATGGCTCACAGGTTGAAAGCATTCAAAACATAGCACAAGAAAGGAAATGCTAAGGGGTGCAGCATCTTTAGCACGATTGCACTAATTTCACCATGCAAGCAAAATGATGCTCAAGATGTGGTAACAAATGCCTAATGTCCAATCTGGATTCCAAAAAGGAAGAGGTACTTGAGAGCTTATTGCAAAGCATCCCAAAGAAATTCAGTAGTAGATCAGTCTATGCTTTATAGGCTATAGCAAAGCATTTGACTTTATGGACCACAAGAAGCTATGGATGGTCCTTAGAAAAATCGGTGTGCCTTAGGATTTGATTGTACTGATGCATACCTGTATCATGAAGAAAAAGCTCCTGCTAGGACAGAATATGGAGAAACAGAATGGTTTTCTATAGGCAAAGGCACCAGACAAGAATGTAGTTTATCTTCCTCTCTGTTCAATTTGGATGCAGAACTTATTTATTTATTTATTTAGAATATTTATATGCTGTCCTTTTGCAAAAGCCTCAGGACGGCTTACATAACGTATCAGAAGGAAAGCTTGATTAGGGTGGAAGATATAATTTAAGATCTGCAGATGATATCCTGTTACTGACAGAAAGCAGCAATGAATTGAAACAACTCCTGTTAAAAATGAAATAAAGTGCAAAAGCAGTACTGAAACTGAATATTAAGAAAACAAGTCATTACAACAGAAGAATTACACACTTTTTCTGTCAACAAAGAAGAAATTGAAATTGTGAAATATTTCCATACTTTGGCTCAGTCATCAATTCAAATGGAAATTGCAGCCCAGAAATTAGAAGAATGCTGAGACTTGGCAGCTGGCATTTTGGAGGACATTAATTTATTCTTAATGTCACTTTAAGTTGGATAGACAACTTGATTGTATGTAACAACAATGAACCAGGGTCCTCCATGGTGGACTTGTTTCCATATCACTGGAGCTTCTGTCCTCTGGCAAAGGGGCACTTTTGCCCCATGCAAATTCACTGAGGAGCTGCAGGTTAGGATTGGACTCTGAATCTGTGGTATTACTTTTGCAAATCTACTCTCAAATTTATGGTCAATCTTAGAAGAGGTTTCATATTCAAAACATTTAATCAATAACTTTGAGTATTTCTGAATGAGAAAAATCAGTCTTTGTAGCTTTTGATTATATCTTTGAAGGATTAAGTGCAGGTGCCAGTCTAGAATATAATAATTACCTCTAAACCCCCGACTGTTTACTTTCTCTTTGACATTGAGGCAAAGGTATACAGGCAGAGGGTTCTGGCCATGATTCAATGCCTGCTTCTGATCTGTGAGTTTCTGATGAACTTCCTGTTTGTGAAAGGAAGGAAACAGTTAATGTAGCTGCAGAAAACAAACTTTTGTGGAATTTGGAACTGATATATTAGCCAGGGTGTCTTCTGAACAGAAATTCAAACTACTGTTTTAAGTTAGTTTGTCTGAAACAGCCTACTCTGATCCAATTGTTCATGCCATAAAAAAGCAGGGGTGGGTAAAATAAATATAATTAAATTCAGTTAAATCTAATTTGAAATGAACATTAAGGGCACAATCCTGCACGTTTTGGACAGGAAACAGCCTACAACTCGCAGCATGTCCCAGTCAGGAGCTGTTAACTTTTTCCCTACCTAAGCATGCATAGGATTACACCTTACATTTTTTAAAAAATAGTTTAAGGCCACCTTTCTCAACCTGGTGCTGTCCACATGTGTATGACTGGAACACCTATCATTCCCAACCAGCATGGCCATTGCTTCTGTGGCATATATAATCATCTTGTACAGATGACTGTTCCATAGTTGATAAACCTTGTCCCATTGGAACCAGTGGGACTTGAAGGTGCTTCACTTTTGCTCAGTTGTGCCTTTAGCCAGAAATAGACATTATATGGGGAAGCAGACATTTCAGAGAGAATGATAGAGTACCCCATCATGTAGCATGGCCTCAATAATGAGTCCCCAGAGATCTGTAAATGATATAATGTGTCCTTCTTGAGACCGCTGCCGCAGCTCCTTTACATAGTATTTCAGGCGTTCTGGGGCAAAACTGGCAAAGAACTTGTTTTTATTCATATGTTTTTTGGCATCCAGGAGTGGCACTTCCAAATCCTTGTGTGACCAGTTGGGATCATTATATAGATTGGACATTGTCCTGGAAAGAAACACAGTAAAGAAAAACTGGGTTTCAGAATAAGAATATCATGAAATGTAGATGCTTTGAGAAACTGCTGGGGTTTTTTTAATCCACTGTGAGTTCTTTCTAGAGTTCTATGTTCTGGGATGTCTGTGAAAGTTTGAGGAGCTCTGCCATTGAAATAAAGGAGCCAAGACTGACATACCTCCATGCCTTGGACAGGTGTTTTCAGTGCCCGAGGGTATTGTAGAGGCAATTGGCATGGGATGATCTGGATAGTTGTTTATTTTATTTATAAGCAATAATTATGCACTGTTTTATGTAATAAAATCCCCAACCTCAGAATCAGATGAATTTTAAGGGAGATTAGAGTGGTTTAAATACTTACATGTTTGTGCCCTAGACATGAACAGCCTCTGCAGAGAGGGTATCCTGTCCCACTGCCACCTACTTTTAGATATTTGTGAAATACAGTGTTATTTCAGCAAGCTGCTGTAGATGTCTTAGTCTCGTACTGCCTTTTAAGTTGTGCTTTACTTGATGACTTCAAACTATTTTTGTGACATTGTATTGTTTTATTTCTCTGCCTTGAATAGATGTTTCTTGTTATTATTATGCTCTTCCTCTGATTCCCTGCTGTACAGCTTGCTTGCGTGGCTGCTAATAGTGGCAGCAAGGGAGGAGGGTCATCTGTGAGGAAGGCCTTTCAGCAGAGCTGGTGGAATGACCTAGCTTTTCCCTTAATCTCCATGGAATCTCTCTGTCTGTTTTGCTTTATTTAGTTCTTCTAAAGAAGCCAGTATTTGGCCATGGTTACAACTCATAAGAAGACTCAGAACGTTTTTTAGTTCATTTTCATGTACAAAAGCTAGGATTACCATGACACTCTTGTTCGCATTTCCTTACCAGGTTGTGCCAGATAAACCACTGAAGTAGGACACACAGTCCAGAACATCTAACTTCTGCATAATCAGCAAGTGGGCATACAATGCTGTAAGGGCTCTCATCCCACCACCAGTTGTCATAATTGCCACCACAGGCACCTGTTTAACAAACAAAAGGCATAACTTTCATTAGGATGGTTTATTTGGAAGGCTAAGCATGGTAAGAAATCAGACCACTATGGAGCAAAGCTGTTATTGCTGAATATCTAAAGAGTAACATGGATAACATTTCAAGTTGAGGCTCCTGTGAGGCCAGGTTCAGGTTGTCAGCAGTACTATTACATGAAGACAAGGCAGCTGGGGACATGTGGACTACAGACATGAGAAAATTCTGCAGCAGATTCAGATGAATTTGGATTTCCATGATCTGTCCTCTGTGGTCCTCAGGAGACTGGATTTTTTGAAGTCATGTGGATTTGATATGGATTTGCACTGATCTGCATGACTGCTAATGCACATTACTTTGAGTACACATTAGTACTAAACTGCTAAAGCACAGGTTAATATGAATAACAACTAATTTACTTTAAGTAGTGAACATATGCAATTGTATTAGTGTGCAAGTACGCAAGTAGGATGGAATTTTGGTGTTAAAAATCTGATTTGGACAATGGAACAAGACACACCTGGAACAAGAGACATCAAACATGGATGGAATCAATTTAACAAGTCTCTTTATCCCTAGAATGGGGCTCAAAAATATGTAAACAATTCCATCTATGGGAGCAGCCAAAGGATAGCAAGCCTGGAAGTACTTATGGTCTTTATATCTGCATTATGCTAGCATTATCTCAACCAAATTATCTGCATACATGCATGTTTATGTTTTCGGAAAGAGAGAGAGAGAGAGAGAGAGCAAGCAAGCAGAGAAGGCATAAATAGTGCTTCCAGCTGCTTTTATGCCTCATTTGCAGATTTTATGGGGAGTAAAAATTATAGCATTTTCTACTTGTAACCCTCCCATGTTTCTCCACTGCTACTGATACCTTTTATCACTGCAGTAACCCATTTTTAGAAAGCACACAATAGCTACAAAATGCCTTCAGAAGGTAGTGCTAGGATTCCTTCATCTGCAACACCCCAAGTCTTACTGTTACTAAGTGTATAAAGAGTTTCCCGAACTGTGTGTTGCACACTAGCCTTAAATATGAAAGAAAAGAGTCATGAGTTCCTGATGGTTACGTAAAAAGAGTAGAAGTCTTCACTGAAAAACCCTCTCCTTGGAGGGGAGAGCACAACTGCACCTGCACCTCAGCTTTGAGTACTCTGTCTTCAGTGTCCTTTCACCAAAGAAAATGTCAGCAAGAGAGAGGCTACACATAAACTGGCTGTATTCACATAGGCTTTCCACACCTCTAGGAGCTCTGTGTGAGTCTGCTGCCATTGAGCACCAACATATGTATGGCACATAAAGTCTTGCCAGTTTTAACAGACAGATTCTGTGGGTGGAGTTTGGCAATAAGTAGATACTGAGGGCTAAGCCAGTGGGCATGGCCCTGCTGTCCCTCTGTGCATTGGATGTCTCATGAATAGCCATTGTTTGTGTACAAGATGGGGCTAGATACAACACAGGGTGAGATCCAGCACCTAGGTACAGATATGGAGCAGCTCAGAGTCATAGGATTGGGCATGTTAAGGGGAACACGTAATATGATCAAGTTTGAGTCCCATTAGTTGTGGTAGCATATCACAATAATTCAGCCAATGTTGAACCTTGGGTTATCATGCATGAGCAGGGGTAAGCAAGCATACAGCTTCCTAGTAGCTTGATTGCTCCTATTGCAGCCAATGATAGCTGTGGGTTTGGATGTTTACCCACAACTTTGAATTGTTGAAAGATATGCAAGCAAACAAAACCAGTAAGGTTGAGTATGTTCAATAGTGATGCAATGCTGAATGTTGGAAGTAGGGGAACAGAAAACCAGGAGAGCAAGAGTGGGATGAGCAGGGGGTTGGACCTGATGGTCTTCTTGGCTCCTTCCAACTCTGCTATTCTATGATTCTTCCCACAGGACCCAGAGCTCCAGATTCAGACATCACAATAAATAAACCAGGGGCAAGAGTTCCTGGGTTGTCTGGCTCCTTCTGCTTGCCGTATGAATGATCAACCTTCTGGGAAATGGGCGTTTACTTTTGCCCATTCATGGCAATTCAGTGTTTTTCTTTATAACATTCTAGGTTGTGGTGATGTACAATCACAATGAAGTTCTCTCAAACTTTATGACTTGTTAACTTAAAACAAAACACACTGTCCTCCAGCCAATCACAGCCATTCACAGTAAAAATGCCAAATGTTGGTCTCTTAACCTCATCATCCTGCAGATCTTCCTCAAGCTGAAGGACTCTTTTCAAAGCAGCAGCAACTACTTTCTTCCGTTTCTGTAGGAATTCCTTTTCTTCTGGGCAGAGATCAAAGCCCAAGCGTATATCTGGCCCTGATGTGCTGTAAAGATGAATATATGGTTTGCATCTCAACTTGAAGATGATGTGTATATTGAATAAATGAAGTCAAAGAAATGGTCACAGCTTTGACCCCACAATGGGTGAAGGGGACAAGGCAAGAAAGGTTGCCCAGGCCTTCTTTTGGTTGGAACCCTGCCCAATATTTGTGCAAAGACCTGCCAGTTCCGCTGCATGGTGTGAGTGAGGCAGGCCTCATGGGTGAAGCTGCACCGAGTACAATAGTGTTTCTTCTCAAAAATTAACATTACTTTGATAACGCAACTGTATGACAACTGTGTGACTCTGGAACAGCAGATGCTGTGTCAGAGTTTAGCTCACACCCTTGGATGACAGACAGTCACAGGGATGCAGAAACCTGAACTCTGAACACAATAGCAAAAATAACTTCCTCCACCTCTATAAGGGCAACCAGAGCACAGTATTGCTACCATACTTCCATCTTCATTTTGGAGACTCTGGGGCAAACCCAACAAAGATAACAGAAATAGCTCAATAGTTAAAAGGGTTCAAAACTATAATTTCAAGTGCTGTGTTGTTTTGATCAGTTTATTTTTGGCCATTTGATGTGTGGGGAGTGGCAAAAAGAATTCATATCCACACATTGAGGGAAGGGATGAGCATTTCAGGAACTTTGCAGTCCGCTAATTGCCTGAAAGTGGAACAAGACATGATTTTTCTTAAAGGACACCACTGCCACCACCTTTTTCTTTGTTGGCTTTCAGCCATGCCACAGTTAGCAGCACTAGGAAGCCTTAAGAGAAGAAGTTCTGGTCCTCTGGGGGCTTCTCAAAAAGAAGGCTTTTTGAGCCTTCTCAAGCAGGCTGCAACACACAGACAAATGAGACCTAAGAGGGTGCACATACAAATGTGTGTGTACACACACACAACAGTATGGCCACCTTGTTATGGTAAGGTAAGCCCTGAAGCACTGCATACTACACAACTTTTCTAAAATTCTTACTGTTTTCACAAAGAAAGCAAAAACATGACTGCCTCAGAGAAGCAGAGAAGCTACAAAAGTCAAAGAGGGGATCTCAGGGTCACGCTGGCAGTGATAAACAGTTTCATGTTGGGATCCTATACTTTTGGCATGCCTCAACTAGTTACATTTTGCAAATTATTAAAAAAATGCATATCTGTGATGAGTTCTCTCAATCCAAAATCTTATTCCCAGAATACAAGCTTCACAAATCCAAGTTGTTTTCTGAAGTAAATTTACAAAATTGTATTTTTAGGATTATTTAAAAATAGTTAAAATGTAAGTCTCCAAAGAGGCAAGAAATATATCCAAAGACAAAATGTATATCTTACCAGTTCTTTACTTTGAACTGTAAATTGCATTCTTTGTCCTGGAAAAGCCATAAAGAAAACGAGTAAATATCCCTAATTTTCTCATATTGTTGAATTTTTCATACCTTTCATCAGTGTAGAGAAACTATGTTACCTGTTCTGTGATAGGTTAGCATCTGCTGCTATGAATAGCAAAATAGGGGTTAAGCTATAAAATCAGTGCAAACATTCTGACAGATGAGCATTTTGAGGTTGCAACAACATCTACATGATTCTAACTGCAAATTCATCTCGAAAACAGTGGCTGTACATCACACTCTCCCCCATTATGTTCAAAAAGGCACATACATGCTGCAACACCAACAGAGACTCAAATAATTGGACAGCATACAAATTGAATAAATAAACAAATAAATAAATAAATAAATAAATAAATAAATAAATAAATAAAAATGTTGTGCATTTCCCATCTCCATTCCACAGTGGCTACCATTAAGATAGGTAGGGGAACTACAACAGGATGACATCACAACACTGGCAAGTTATCTTATGGATACAGAGGAAGGAAGAGTCATTTGCTAAAACCACTGATATGCTCTTATTATAAACAATTACTTTGGCCAATGCAGTGCTGGCTATAGGTTTTGTGGGCCCTATGGCAAGGCACATTCAATGAGCCCCACTCACTCACACACTCTACCTTCTCACCACCATTATTACCTGCTACTGGTGCTCATTGTCTTATTTTTCTTCTTTGCTACCACTTGCTTGCCTGACAGGCAGAAGGTTGAATCTATTCCTTCCTTCCTTCCTTCCTTCCTTCCTTCCTTCCTTCCTTCCTTCCTTCCTTATTTATTTATTTATTTATTTATTTAGAAAGCTTCTATGCCGCCCCATTCGCTGAAGCCTCGGGGCGGCTCACAACTGAGTATTACTTCCTGATCAATGAAAAATGCATTCACAGGCAGAGTCACATTCATGTTTCTTGGTACATTTGCTCCACAAGACACACAAGCATACTAAAAAGAAAGGCCACTTGTTAAGAAACAGTGTTACTTTGGGGAAAAAACCCAGTACTTTGGAAAAAGCCAATAAAAGGCATTTCTAGCTAGTTATTAAAATGCACATCTATTGCACACCAAGGAAACTAGCGGTCTTTTCACCATGACCATTCTTTAGGCCAGAAAAAGTCATCTTACTCTACCTTAGAGGATGGTGGTGGTAAGAAGAAGCAAGCAGATTGGCACCAGAAAGTCCTCCTACTTTCCCATGAAGATTTTGAGAGGAAGGAGGAATTGACCCTACCCACTTCTGCTGGTAGAAATGTGCAATTCAATTCCATGCAAAATAAATAAAAATTCTAAAAGCAGTGCAAGTACTGACCTCTTTTATTACTTCCTGATTGATGGGAAATGCATTCACAGGCAGAGTCACATTCATGTTTCTTGGTACATTTGCTCCACAAGACACACAAGCACACTGAAAAGAAAGGCCACTTGTTAAGAAACAGTGTTACTTTGGAAAAAAAACCCCCAGTACTTTGGAAAAAGCCAGTAAAAGGCATTTCTAGCTAGTTATTAAAATGCAAATCTATGACATACCAAGGAAACTAGTGGTCGCTTCCTTGGAAGTAGAATATCCAGTACTCCTTGATTATGCTTGGCAAAGTGGAAGACAGCAGGCTCCGTGAAATGTAACCTGGAGGTACAGGCTAGCAAAGTATTTTGGGTCTCTTCAAAGGATCCTTTCAATGTACACTTGACATGTTGTTCTAAAGGGAGAGTATACGATAACACATTAAGAAAAAGAAACCATAACCTTTAGAGATAAAATCAACACCCGTGCTTGAGTTGTACATATGTGAATTTTTATGTTAAGTTGAACATTAGTGTGAAAAAGCAATATAAACATTTATGAATAAATGACAATGCAATTCCATTCATGTTTTCCTAAATGTAAGTCCCACTGAGCTCAATGGGCTTACTACCAAGTAAGTATGCATAGGATTTGAGTATCCATCCTTGTCCTCAGACTCTGATTTCTAGATAAGTTTTCCACATTATTCCATCATTGGTATGTGATGACTCTAAAAATGAATACGAGCGGGGCGGGGGGAATTATACCCTGGGCTGGATTTTATCTCAGAGACAATTGACATTAAACTTAACCTAACCCTTTTGGTTTGGGATCTTAGTGACTTTTGTGGGCATTTCATAGCATATCATGGTACTTTGAAACTTGAAGTTCAATCTTGAAGCCTCTGCCATCTGATGTTCAAGGTTGTAATCAGTATGCATTAGCATTTAATGAAACAATATGCTCACGTTTAAAATACTTTTTCTTCTTTTTCTTAAGGTCCACCTGAACCTCCAATGAGCAACATTCACGGCACTAGAACAGAAACACATTTCCCAATTTCACTGTTTATTGTGGTCTGAAAAATTATGTAAACAGTAATTCTTATTTCCTGAACCAAATGCCATTTATTATTCTGGTCTGACATGGGGAATTTAGATAACTGAATTATACCACAGAGTTCTGGACAGATATCACTGTTCATAAATAGATGAGCAACAGATCTGAAATATGCAAACTCAACAGCAGGTTTCTTTAAAAGCTTGTTCTGGTTGTATGGTAGAATGCCTGTTTTGTGAGATCCTAGACATTGTTTCCAGGGCTGCCATAAGTCAGAGACAACTTGATGCAACAACAGCAGGCATTGTTTTCTTTCCCATTTGGCAGGCATCACCATCCTTGGGTGTGTGAGAACCTGTTGAACAAGTTTCTCTTCATAGCAAACTCTTATTTGTGATGTACCCACTACATGCCACACTGCACTGCTTGTGTGCCATCTCAAGAGCTGTGCCTGTGACAAAGGATATTTTACAGGTTCTCTAGACCTAGTAAAACCATACTTGCATAATTCTAAAGAAAGGGAATAAGTGAATGAACAAACAAAAGTTACCACCACTGCTCCATTAGTTATTATTTTTTCAGGTGGACCCCATCTAGAAAACATAGAGATACCTAGTGTTACAACTGGAATGCTTTAAGGAGAAATCTTAAAGACAGAGTCTTTCAACAAGTGCTGTAGCATTTTACTTTGCTCTTTTCTTTTTGCAGTTTGGTCAGTCCTAGAAATGCGGCTTCTGAAGGCAGAATGAGAAGTTTGGCTTCAATGAAATTGCATTGAAGTTCTTGTGAAAAGCACAGGAAGCAAGAGGCATATTGGGTTGGAGCAGGTGCCTCTTTTCATAAAAATAATCCTTTACTGTTGAGGATTTCATAAGGCCAAAACCAAGTGCCAATGAAGACTGGAAAATCAAAGGCAAGTGTTTGGATATTGAGGACTGGTAAGTACAATGAATGGGCTTTTGCCAGACTTTAGCAATGGGCTTTTGCCAGACTTAACCATACTCAGAGTAGACCCATTCCAGTCTTAAGTTAGATGCAATTTACTAGTCTTGTTGATTTCAAGAGTCTGCTCTGCCTTTAATTATATCTGGCTACTATCCAATATATTATGTTCATACAAGATGGCAATGCTAATCTGGTTATTGGTTTCATACCTGCATACATGTCTTTAAACCCTAGGTAATTCTTTAAACACTGTTTAGTTGTGACATGTGAGAGTGCTGGAATGTGCTGAGTTCTGGCTGCCCATCAGTTTTCACTGAACTAAATAATCCAGAGGTGCTTCTTCCCTGGGGTGTACATTGTGTTGACTAAACCCAGATTGTGAATTGTTGGGGAAGGAATAATCCAGACTTATAACCCATGGTTGGGTTGAACCTTCTCAAGAAGACTACAATTTGTGAAAAACCACCCTGGTTTGCCCATCATGTTACACCAAGATTGTTTGGCTTCACCCATCTGCAGCAGGACTAATCCCTAACTTCTGTCTTGGATTGACAGCTTAATCCTTTTAGGAGATACTAGACCATTCTTTCCAAATAATGTTGGTAAATATTTTCCCCAAATGACTTAATATTCCTTCCTTCCTTCCTTCCTTCCTTCCTTCCTTCCTTCCTTCCTTCCTTCCTTGTTGACCAGAGGGAAAGATTCTGATTATTATCTAAATATGCCTCTATCAAACTATTCTATTCTGGGAAAAATATTATTTTGGGGAAAATATGCTGAAGTGAACTTTGTCCAGCAATCATAGTTTTTTCATGAGAATCTGGAGCATGGACATGCCGGTATGTCAGACACATGCAAAACAGAGATCACATGAGAGAATCAGTGCATACCTATATTCTGATGGAGAAGAGTTTGGTGTCTGCTAGTCCTAATGTACCAATAGTATCATCTCAAGGGGAAAAGCAAGTATGATGAAAACCCATTCACAATTGTAGCTGATTTCCTCATAACAGGTAGGAGATACTGTGTTGCTCTCTAGGTTTTGCATATTACTGTTGGTAAGGCTGAGATATGGAAACACTCTAAGTGGATCTGAATTCCTACTCATATGCATGTATCGAAAGAAAGGAAAATCCCATCTCATTAATAACATTTTAACTTTCTTACTTAGTATACCAAGGAGTAATTAGAATTAGAATTGTGTAATTGTGAGGTTTAATGAATGGCAATTGAAAGATGGGGCTCATTGTTGATTCCTTATCCTAGAGACAACACTCCTATCAGTTACTTCTGTTATTTACTCCTATATGTAATTTATTCTATATAAATATTGATTTCTATAACACTGAACACCACGGCTGTCTTCATTTTTTGTATAATATATAAGCTACTCACATGCTCTCCAGGGTAAATTCAACCTCCAATTCTTCATGTTTCTGAAAATTAAAATGTAACAGAAATGACATGTTTTTGCTGTTAAATAACTGTTTAACATAGGTATAAATAACTGTTGTACCTATGTTGGATTTCCCACATATTTCACATAAGAGTTTTTCTTTCCTGGTAAATCAAAAGTGTCCTGTGAAATATAATTGTTTTAATCTTTGTGTAGAAATGAAAATGGAAAGCCAAAGCTGAACTTGAAAGGTCTTGGCAAAATGACTTTTCCACACTCTTACCTAAATATAAATCACTCCTCTGAAGCTGCTATTGATGGCAGGGTGGGTGCAAGGGGAGATGGGAAGCACTTGAATGGAAAGATAGACAACTTCTCCTGAAACACCATAGCCCCAACCATCAAATCCACCTCCCCTGCCTGCTCCTTACCTTTTCACAACCTCTCACTCCAAGCCCTTTTCTCCCAGCTTAAGCCATGTAGGCATGTTTGTTTGTTTATTTGGAATTTTTGTATGCCATCCCATTCGCATAAGCCTCGGGTTGGCTTCCAAGGCAGGAAGGCAGGAATGTTTAGGCAGGTAAAAAAATCCCTACAGCATGCTTGAAGTTGTAGGACTTTTTCTGTCAACATATACCTAGGATTGCACTTTACAGTATTGGAACTCAGCTGGGGAATAGTGCTTGAGGAGTAAAACTGTAGGGAACAAAACCTGTGTGTATGTCAGTTGTGCAGGGAAGGCTCTGCATTTGACATCTATACACCTACTTATTTTAAAAATGTGGTCAAACACTTCTTTCTATGCATCAGGGCAGTTCTGTGTTAAATCAATCATTCATTCAGTCAGTCAGTCCAGAACTCCTGTGTTCATGTCTGTTCAGGACTTTTGCAAGTTGATGTGAAATTCAGTTCCAGTTTGCAAAGTTTGTTTATATGTTGAAATATGCAATACACTCTGATTTGTTGCTATTGTTAAAATTTCAGTCCTACACATTGAACAAATTCTTCTTTCAGCACTAGCTTAAAAGAAGCAAAGGTAACGGCAGTAAGGCAACACAGCAAATAGTTTATTGCTGCGCATTAACTTGGATGTACAGTTCCTTTCCGTGTAAGACTGTATTTTCAAATAATATAGTTAGATTTGATATAGTTAAGACAGGGATGGGTGCCTTTGTGAAAGTTAAAGGGATGGCCTATAGTAAAGGTAAGAATAGGAATTATATGCTTCTCCTCCACACATCTTCCCAGCTTGAAGCTGCTCAAAAGAAACCTGGATAGCACTAGAATAGGGTCTCTTGATAGTAACAGAGCCATCTGGTCCCTTCCAGGTGAAACTCACAGTCTACTCTTTTTCACATCCATCTGAAGAATTAATGGACTGACCAGCAACTGATACTGATTATTGGACCTAGAGCTTGGCAAAGCTCAACACTGGTTTCAACCCTACTACCTTTAGTTAGAACCAGGGGTGGTCTCTGGGTGGGAACTGTTCCTGAAAGTAATTGTATTTGCACTCTTGCTAAATTTTAGATGAGATGTGCTAGAATGTTTGTCTGCAGTTCCATTTAGATGGAAAAATCATATTTTTTTAGAAGCAGCTGGCCAAACTAGGTATGATAATCATGCAACTGGCAGTTCTTGTTAAAAACATAGGAAAAACTCTGCAGGATCAGATCAAAGACATCCTGTTTTATCCACCAGTCAGGTATGTGTCCCTGGAATTTGTTTTGATCAGTAAATGAACCAAAAGCGTTGTGTGCTCAGGATGGCGGGAGAGGAAAGAAAGATGTATAATTGTTTGATCTTGCAGTAAAAGCATTTCTTTTAGTAGCGGAGTAGGACAAATGATGAAGAGTGCCTAGAAATCTCAGTCAGCACAGAGAAAGATCAGTCCTTATATATACTCACATGGGGATTCAATTCAAATTTCATAAAGATGGTTTCTCCTAGAGGGACTTTAGCTATGTCAAATAAAATGATACAGTAATCATCATCTCGAATGACATCTTCATCACATACAGCCAATTCCAAGACATTCTGGGAAAGAAAAAAAATAATGTTAATGAAATCTCCCTCCTGGATGCACACTTTAACATGGTGAGGGGGCTGAGAGTGCCAAGGAAGCTAAGAGCAATGCTGCCAGGAGGCCAGATTCTCTCATGAGGCCACTTTCCTAACAAATTCACTCAAGGTGGAATGGTCGAGACATCAGTCTAAGATTCAGGAGGAATGGTCAGATCAGCAAAAGAGAATGGATATCTCTAATGTGATGGGGTCAGAGAAACTTCTGAAGGGCAACCACTGGGCAGCAGCAGTAGTGGAAGGATCCACTGATGGAGGATCTTTCACAGACAACATCAGTGATGCTCAAGCCAAGTACTGATTAGTACTGCACAGAAGAAAGCAGTGGTAAACCACTTCTGAATTTTCCTACCTTGAAAACCCTACGATGAAGCTTCAAAAAAAATCAAGACATCATGCCAGAAGATGAGACTCCCAGGTCAGAAGAAAGTCAACTAATTATTGGGGAAAGACATGTACAAATACTGGTATTGCTAATGAAACAAATAGATCAAAGCAGAAAGGAAGTCTAGTGGCTTACATGCATGGAGATGAAAATATAGTTCAATGGTACACAGTACATAAATTGGAACAGGGAATGTGAGAAGTATGACTCAAGGCAAATTGGAAACCGTACATAAAGCAAAAAGTGAAATGTTTAAACATCACAGTACCTTGTGTGAGCATACTAAAGAGGACTGGAATGGGACATTTTCATACAAACACAAAGTGCTTTACTGTAGAGATGACAAACTCAGAAGAAACAAATTGGCTCTAATACTGAGACAAGATGTAGCACATACAGTAAGGGGCCGAATTGCAAAATCCAACTGTATCATATCAGTCAAATGTCTCAAAAGACCTGTCAGTATAACCAGCATTCAAGATGCCAAAGAAGAAATTAAAAGCTCTTTTGTAAGCATCCAGGCAGAAAATGATCACACACGCCCGCGTGCACACACACACAAGGGCATGCTGATCCTCTGGAATGCAAAAATGGAAAAAAAAGCAGAATCACATGCTGTAGGGGAATTTGGCCAAGGGATCAGGAACAAAGCAGGAGAACGACTTATAGCATTCTGTGAAGCCTACAATCTGTTTCCTGCTAATACGTATTCCAGGCACCAATACACATGGACATTACCAGCAATTGGAAGTAGAAGATGGAAAAAAATGCATTCTCACTGCCAAATCAAGACCAGGAGAAGTATTACATGAATTTAACAAGAATTAAAACAACAAGAAATGAATGATTAGCCCATCACTTCTGAATTCAACAGCATTTGGGAGAATGTTCTGAAGAGGGAGAACCATCAGAGAAAGGAGTATATTTTCCCTTTTTCCCTCATATGAGCAAATCCTGTGATCTTGGTCTCTGCAGTTTCAAAACGAACAAAGAATGCCTCGTATGGGGCCCTGTTGTTGGCTTAACTTAAGTTTTTGGCTGCTTCCCTAGACATCTGATGTGGGAACAGTGGACTTTAGCTGTCCATTGGAATTTTAACAGAATCACATATCATGGCAAACAACTCTGTGCTGTTTCCATCCTTTGCAGACTTTTGCCTGAATTTAGTAGTCAGGTGGTTGTGCAGTTTCCTAGGCAATGTGTTTTCCCTACTCCATTGTCCTGTTCTTACCATACTTCCTAGAAACCTTTACCATCTCCTTCCATACTCTGTTGCTCTCTATGGACCTTCAGCAGCCTTTTTTGCATTGGCCCACTGAAATATTTTGCATTGGTCCACTGAAGTGGGTTTTCCCCTTCCCTCTCCTGAGTGTACCTGCATCTATGTATCTGCCACTTCAATCTCCAGATGAAATTTTACTAAATCACAACAAACACTTTTGCTGCAATTTCCTCTTCTCGCCATGTTTTTTCCTATTTCTGAAAGTAAACAAAGACATGGGTACATTGCTCAGCTAACAGGATAAAGCAGGTGATAATCTGTGCGTTGCTAAGGAGCTGAAGGCAGTAAAGAACAGATGGAGGAGTGGCCACTTCTGCAGCTGCTCTTTCCACAAGACTCTATGCTGCTTCCATTGTCACAATGGCAAAATGGAGATTCTGGGTCCAGATGACTGGACAAATTGTCATGAAGCAACAGACTGCTTGTTTCAGGAAACTAAGAGTACCACATAGAAACACCATGACTGGGTCCAGGTGGTATGACAAACCAACAAGCATAAGAAATCACCATGTGTACCCAGCCAGGAATTTCTACCACTGTATATTTGTAATTAAACATGAAACATTTCAAAATGCCTAAAGCAGCTAATGACCTCCTTCCATAGGAAACCAGTCCTGGGAACTTTTCTTCCCAGGGAGAAGTGAGTCAGACATAACAGTAGATCTCATAAGAGGTCAGGCATCCAGCATAACATGCTGGCAATGTTCTTCCATCACAGGGCATTGCTGCAATGTTAGCCTAGCAATACAATTATTTTCTGGAAACAGACAGCTAAGCGTGCAGAATAAAGTGAGAGAGACTGAGAAGAATAGGACTATTTGAGAACAGCCACATGTGCAAAGCAACTACAAAAAACAAACAAACCAGTAATCACATGAAAATTATGCACACCACCTTTTATTGTACCTTAACCTGACTCTGGATCCTGAAGTAAAACATTTCATTCCACACAGGGTCTTTGCAGTTCCTGACCGTTTTAGTTCGAACCTTTTCAGACGAGGCAGTAGGCAGCCACAAGGTCACATAACAATCTGTTTCACTTACTGTAGGGCAAAGCATAGAACAATAAAGAATTTTTATACTGGGCCAGATTGAACCTTTCCTTTAATCCCTTAGAGGGAGCAGAGTCAATGAAACATGCATTTCTTGTTCTGTTATTAGTATTGTTATGTTACATTCATATCGCACCTTTTTTCCTCTTGCAAGGAACCCAAGGCAGCTTACACTGTCCTCCTTCACTTCACTTTATTTTTATAACATCAGCAGTGTAAGAACTAGGCTAAGAGTAAGTGACTGACCCAAAGTCACCCAAAGTCACTTCCTTGCTTGAGTGGGAACTAGAATCCAAATTTCTCATGTCCCCAATCCAACACTGGCTCTTGGTCATTCCAAGGTGAATGTTTGGTATTTGAACATCTTTGATAATTTCAGAGGTTTGGTTTTATTTATTTTGTTCTAAATATTTTATGTCATAGAGTCATGTGAGAGAGCCAGTGTGGTGCAGTGGTTAAGAGCATGGGACTGGGACTCAGACAATCTGGGTTCTAGTCCCCGCTCAGCCATGGAGCCAACTGGGTGACTTCGGGCCAGTCACAAACCAGCCCAACCTACCTCACAGGGTTATTTTTGTGGGGATAAGATGGAGGAGGAGAATGATGTAAGCTGCCTTGAGCCCTTTGTAGGAAAAAGGCAGGATATAAATCGAATAAATAAATAAATAAATAAATGTCAGCACCTGGAGCCTTTAACATGCCACCCTTTAGTACCTGCATGGCAAGGGGAATTTTTGGATGTAACCAAAATCAGATGATAGATTCATATCTATTCAAGGTAGGTGTAAAATCCACTTTGGTTTGGGTGAGGGATCATTAACTTCTATTCCTATTTTAGGTCTTTATGTCTTCATGCTCAGCTGCAGAGAGTTTATAAGTGTGCATTACTTATAAATGTTTTGCAGCATTTACTCCCCTCTGCCATTCATTTTCTGTGGGCTGGATATTGGCCTACTATAGTATTATAAAAACTGCACTTAAAAAAATCACGTAATTACTCTGTTGTTTCCTTGCAGCATTACAGGGCTATTGACCTACAGGAACAGAAGTAGACCACAGAAGAAACAGAATCCCCTGGAAGGTCACCTGTCTGGTTCATCAGAGATAGCTTCTGCTTTCTATAGAAAAGTGGTAGCATGGTTAATGTACATGAGGATCTATTGCATAAGATCAAGATGCATTTGGGAGACATTTTCATGGATTTGCTTTGGAAAAGTCCTCTGAAAGACTGGCAGCTGTTTCCTGAGAACAGTGTACACCTCAGAGCACTGGCTACATGAAGCAGGTGGAAGCTAGTATGGAATGATGAAACATCTCTTTTCTCACCAACTATGTTCCTTCAATTTATCTTTTTGCCCACTCAGGGTGAGTTTCTATTCATGCTTATAGGAAAATAAGTGGTGTCCCCACATCCTCCACAGTGCATTGCCTACAGTGGAGTTTTCTTATCATGTCATGGAAAAACAGCCACAACGTTTATCTGACTATGGGTGAATGCATGCAAAAGCAGAATCATGCAAGGAGTACAGGGAAGAAGTCACCAGAGCTTAGCATAGTGTAGCGTTGTGTTGCTTTTTCACTCAGCAGAGAGGAGCCCCTAGCTTAGTGGTAGAACACCTGCTTTGCATGCTTCTCCCTGGTATCTCCAGGTACAGCTGAACTCCCTTTCCCTGAAAAAGAGAACTCTTTTCTTCTGCAAGCCTGAAGAGCTGCTGCCCATCAATATCAATCATACTGGGCCAGATAGACGAATGGTATGAGTCAGATAAGAAAGCTTCCCATTCACTAGTACTGAGGAAAGGGGAAATGAAGGAAACCAAGTTTTCTCCTTTCCTCAGAATCAAAGGGTCATAGCAGAGAAGCCTAAAGATACAAATTCAGCAACATATGAAATTCTGTTCCAGTGAAGTGTCATCCAAGAACAAATGATAAATTGTCCTAATAGGAAAGTCCTAGTCCAGCCTACAGAGATTCCTTACCCAGACCATAGCCCCATCTGACTTCATGCCCTGAAGAACATCAGTCCCTGAAGAACAATCCCCATCATGACCTCCAATCACCAAGTGCTGATAACATGGGAATCCCCTCCAACAGCTGTGCACTCTCCGAACTGGATGGGCAAGCAGAAGAAGGGAATACTGGCTGCTATTGCCAATAAGAAATCAGAGATAACAGCAGTCCCTGATAGACAAGTGCTTTGTCCTCACGGAGCATTTCCCGTCTTTCCCTTAATGGAGAAAGAGCAGTTGCCTGAGCAGTAACTTATGACCATGCACCTGTCAATCAAAAGCAAAAGCACTACAGCAAGGGTGGAGAAATATTTAGGCTCAGAGGTCTGGATTGCTTTCAGGTTCACCCCTCAGGTGCTGGATGATGTCATGTGGCAGACACTCCCCTGAAGCCCTGTGGCCTAATGTCATGGCAGTTTTTCCATGCATCAGAAGGTACAGAATAATGCCCCCTGCCTTTTTCTGCAAAGAAATTTCCTTCCACCTTTCACCACATGGAAAGTTCTCTTACAATGCCAGGTGCTAGGTCTCTGGGAAAGGGTCCCCTTTGATGTCCTATCACTTCAAAGCAACCTAAAGGTTAAACAGACTCCTGTTCTTGTACTTAGGGTGTAAAGAGAGTACTAAAAACAGGAAATACGTGTGCCCATGTCCCTCTGTGAATCAGGGCTATGTTGTGTTGCTCTCGTGAGCTTAGGTATTATGATGGCCTATTTCAGCATAATGTCCAGCTCATGAACTCACAACAGAATAAATGCTTCTAAGTATAATGTGTCATGAACTTGACCCCCAGGAAAACTCCAGGAAAATGAATAAAGCATTTTATGGGAAGCACTGACCTATGTTTTTTGAATCAGGTAACAGGAAACAGAACAAATTAATGTAAAACATATTTCCATGAATTCCACTTTTCCAGGACATAATTGACTAAGGGAGTGTATAGAAGATGGATATAAGAAGCATCCAGGATAAAGTTCCAAACATTTGCATATATTCTTTTTATTTTGAGGAAATGGGTTTGCATGGATTGGAATAACTCTTAGTATGATACACCAAACCACTCAAAGTTATACAGCTTCCAGAGTAAGACATATTGTGCCCACCCTGTCTGAGCAAAGCAATGGCAGCTGGTATTCCTATGCATGGCTCCTGCCATGCTGCACTCAATTGAGGAGTCTGTCATTCCATTCACCTGAGGAGAGCTGCCCCAGGGCAGGAGGGGAAGCCATAAATCTTTCCCAAGACTCCCCTCTACCTTGCTTCAAACTCTTTTGATTGCAAAGCAATTAATTGTTTGGGGAAATCTTCCACCTAGTGACTGAAAATGGTACTGCAAGCTACATACTGATATATTTAAATTAAGTGACTGATTACTTAAAAGTAAATAACTCTGATGGCATTCTTAGTATGTGTGCTACATTTTAGTTGTTTAGATTTCATGATCTTGAAGCTGCTACAGCAGAGAGATATACATTCTCTTTGTAACTAGATGTATTTTGATCTTTAATATATTTCTCAAAGGAAAGAAAAATCACATGTAGATATAAGTAAAAAGACCAAAAAGAAGAAAAATAGAAAAATATTCATACATTTTACTCTTAGTATGATATTCTTAAATCATAACTATGTAGGTAACAGTTCAAATACTTAGAAATACTTGGAGGTGTGTAATTTTTGTAAGAACAAAAGAAAACAATGCTAATTTTAAATATTGAACAAAATGCTTACTTTTAAGTGGCTAAAGTAAAAGCACTAAGTAAAAGCACTTCACTTGGATCCAACAGTGTTTGTTTTTTACTGGAACAGAAACTGCTGGCAAAAAAAACCCTACTCCATCCTCCACTCTACTCTGAAATGCCACACACTCCCCACCCAAATATACTCCAGAGGGTTGTGGGATCCTCATGTTATCCCCAATTTAGAGGTTGTTCTTTTGGACCCTGCACCAGCCAAGAGACAAAGAAGATAAAAACTGAATTCTGCTTTCTGCACCCAGTTGCATGACACTTGTTTTGTTAAGTATAACAAAAAACAAAAATCAGAATCAGGTTAGCATTTAATGAGTTCACTGCTATTTTGAAGTACAAACAATAAAACATCTCATGACCCCTCAAGGACTAACACATTTATTGTGACCTAAACTTTCATGGACTACTGTCTACTTCATCCAATGCATTAAGTGCTACCCTTTGTAGACAGCTCAATATCCAAATCCATCTGTGTACATGAGAAAATTCCTTTAATGAACATGGTTGCCACACCTTGACACTATCTCCATTTCCTAGTATTAACACCGGCCTGCCTCTTGCCAAATCGTTTCAGTCAAGCATCCAGTTGATCCTCCCTGCTATTGCTCCATTAACTTCAGCTTTCATTTCTCACACTACTTGTCTCCTTTGGCAGCTGACCATGAATCTTGCCTTGTCTTCTTTCTTCCTGATATCTTCCACTTGGTTCTTTATTGCGCCCCTCCCAAGAATCAAGATCTTTCTCTGTTTCATCACTTGCTATACTGAAAGTCAGCATTCTCTCCCACAGTTTAAACAACCCTCCTCCTTGACCCATTGTCAAACTCTACCTACCAGATAAACTTACCTCCTTTTTTTCCACATTTCCCAAATTCATTATTCATTCTCACTGTGCCTTGGGTCTTCCACTTTGAACCCATCTAATCAGCTTCAAGAATAATTAAATACTGCTCTTCATCAACAAATTCCAGAGAGGTTTGTGAAATTTGTTAAAATGACAATTAAAAATTAAATAGATTTTTAAAAAGGAGTCCCACTAAGCTAGGTATTAAAATCAGCAAATGCTTGTTTTGCACAAAGAAGTTTTAAACAATTCTAAGGCACCTTCAGGATTGGTGTTGTACTTCAGGGGGCTGGGAAGAGAGCTCTAGGGTACCACAACTGAAAAGGCCTTCCCCTGAATGCCTTCAAATGAACAGGAACAGGCAACAGAATAATCAGGAGGCCCTGACTTATTGAACAGTAAGTTGATCTGGGAGAAGCCATTCCTACAAGTTTACCCTCTGCATTCAAATGAAATTGGCCTTGTTTAGATCAGAGATTTCTCCACTGCCATTTTTAACTATAGCTTTGACAACTTGCTGCATGAGTGAATGACTTGGTGAGCCAGACAGTGCTGTCTTCTATCTATCTCATATTTTTAATCAGTTCTAGCTTTGATGCAGTCAGTTAATGGTTTTGGCCATTTATCTATTAAATTCTATTACATTAATGTCGCTATTCATGTTTTTGGGAGATAATTTTAAGCTAAATTTGAGTATGTTCATTAAAGAGCTCTTAAGGGACACCGACAGATTGACATGTTAAGTCTATGGGGTAGGGTAAATTGTTGTGTGTTGTTTGTTGCAAAAGATTCCTTTGTGTGGGGGGGGGGGGGTTGTTTTTTGTAAGCTGTCCAGAGACTTTTAGTATTGGATGGCATATATGGTAAAAACTTTAAATAAATAAATAAATGCACTTAAAATGAATGTAATACCTCAAATTGTTTATGTGTCATGTGATATTCCTTTATTTATACCTGTCAAGTATTTCCAGAAGTATTTCCAAAAATTTCCAAATTTTTATTGGGTTCCATCACAAAAGAAACTTTCAATCAAAAACAGTGGATTTGGCCTCCTGGATCTCTCCTTATACCATTAGACCTATTTGTTGACTTGTACTAGATTTTGGTCTTTTTCACTTAAATTAGATCTCTCTTCTTGATCAGTTCTGGAATCTTTATGTCTGGATCCTCTGTTGGATTTCATTGGACTCTTGTCATATCAATATATATATAATGTGCTACCTGCAGTTGTGGCAGCTAGTGAGCTATGTTTATACTTGCATGTCAATTGCTGTTTAACTTTATGGGAAAATCCAGACTTAAAATTGGCAAGAAAATGTTTTCTTGGTGGACTGGGACAGATTTGATTTGTATTTTGGATCAGCTTGTCAGTCCTGACAATATTTTTTGACAATTTTCCACTTTGAGTGCCAAATATAAATTGCCAGCTAGACTGCATGGCAATATATATATAATTAAAACATTTCTTAGAACTGAGGTTAGGTGCTGTTGCTTTTATAGCTTCAGGGCTGCCTGCACTATTGCAAGAATTGACAAAGGCTGAACAGTTGCATCAGCTTACAATTCATGCCTATAAATATCTATTGTCAGTTAACAATTATGATATACAAGGTCCCAACCAAGAATGGAATAATGAAATAGAGCATCCCAGCTTGCCCAATCAATGGAGTGCTTCTTCATTATATATTTCAGAAGAAGCCATTGTTCTTAGCTTTATTCAGAAATTCTTTTATTCTTTATTGATGGCTTTATTCAGCAAAAAATGATGTTTCAAGTATGCTGGATTCTACAACATCTGTTTGATAAAGGCTTAAATTAAATTGACAAATGAGTGTGCCTCAGCACTTGTAACTTGTATCACAGTCAATGAAATCATTTCCTATTGGAAAAGGTGTCAGAAAGGTCATATGTTTTCTCTGTCTATTCAAACTGTACGCAAAACATGCCATAAGGAAAGCTGGATTAGGATCAGAGGAAGCAGTGAAAATTGGCAGAAGACACATCATTAATTTGAGATGCCACCTTACTGGCAGAAAGCAGCAATGAACTGAAATGGTTCCTGATGAAAGTGAAACATGAAAGTGCAAGGACAGGGCTGCAGTTAAATATTAAGTAAACAAAAATCATGATTGTTATCAAGGATTACAGAACTTTACTGTCAGCAATGAAGAAAAAGAATTTGTAAAAGATTTTGTTTATTTTAGCTCAGCCATCAAGTGGAGACCAAGACTTAGAAGGGCGGCAATGAAGAAACTAGAAAAGGTCATCCAATGTAAGGATGTTTCACTGAAGGTCAAGGTAATTCACATCACTGTATTCCCTATCACTCCGTATGGGTGTGAAAGCTGACCAATGAAGAAAGCTGACAGGTATAAAATTGATGTGTTTGAAACATGATGCTGGAAGAGAGCTTTGTGAATACCCTGGACCTACAAAAAGATGAATAAGTGGGCAGTATATCAAGCCAGAGCGTTCAGTGGAAGTAAAGATGATAAAACTGGGGGTGTCATACTTTGGGCACATCATGAAAAGGCAAGAGTCCCTGTAGAAGAGTTGAAGACAGAAGAGGAAAAAGAAGACCAAAGAAGAGATGGCTTGATTTCATGAAAGAAGACACAGTCTTGAACCCTTTAATGGTGTGCTTTGGTTGCTTCTGTTTTGCACAATAAAATAAATAAATATTTAAAAATACCCTGGCACCAAGGCAACTAGAACTTTTAAAGCAATAACTAATTAAATAATAGCAACCTTGAATAACACCTTGGAAGGGGCCAATAAGGCCTTTAGGTTCTTGATTAACAACAGTGCAATTCAAATATGCTCAATACCTTAAGAATTACAAGGATTCTGATGAAGAATAAAAATACTCACAATAATCTTCCCGGGAAAGATTTCGCATTCGTATAATTCTTACAGTAAGAATAGAACATGGTGATTCTGCATGCTGCAAAACAAGGAAAAATTCCCAGATGAACCTTTCAAGTATCAAACGTACTTCCATCAACATATAATTAGGAATGCTATGATGTGGGTTCAGCATAGGCCCACATATATGACTGGAGGGTGGGTGGGTTATACTCTCATTTCAGAAAAACAGTCAACTTTATTTATTTACTTGTTCAACTTACATTGCACTGTAACTAGTCTGAAGACTCTCTAACCAGGTTACAACTTTTACATAAAATAACATCAAATTTTGAAACATCTAAATATAACATACAACAAAACAGAGAATATACAACTGAGGGGTCAAACATCAATAAGTTAAAATATATTAAAACTAAAAGCAGTATAAATAACATCATAATATAAAATCAATTGTTAAAATGTCTAGAAAAGAGGACCATTTTTGCCTGATGCTGAAAAGATTGTAAAGATGGCACCAGGTGAACTACCTTTGGAAGGCCATTCCATAAATGGGGCACAACCACTGAGAAGGCCCCCCTTCTATATGCCATCCTGCTGACCCCCTTGAGAAGGAGTAGCTTAAGATCCCTAAACTACTCTAGCTCAGATTAAAATCCATGCTGGAGACTATTTTTTTTATCTACCTGCCCACCAACTCTCTTTCCCAGTTCCCTTCTTTTAAACAATACCCTCTAGCTGCAGCACTATGATCAGGGTTCTGGATCTGGTGGGAAAGAAGGAACAAAGGGGGTTTCTCTTCACCTCCCTTCTTCCCATCTCGGGTCATCACCTGGCACTGGAAATCTGGGTAAGCCCCCATATCCCCCTGGAAATGTTTCTCTCAAGAGATATTGACATTGCAATAACCCTTAGATTTTCCATTTTCCTACCCTACACCCTAAATTTTCCAAGGGTCAGTAAAATCATAAATGTAAATGCCAACACCAGCAGATTTGTATTCTAATTGGTCAGCATTTATAAAATCATTTTAGCAATATATTCACATCTTTGGAATAACATTAGAGCTCTCAGCATCTACATCTCAGTAAACCTGTTCCTGGGTGCAGCATTGCCAGATGCTTTAGAATCAGCCCAAAATTTCTTCTTGTTTTAATTTATTTAGTTTACTCCTAAACTGCCTTTTAAACCAAAGTCCTTCTATTCACATTTATATAAAAACATAATAATCAGGCCACAAAGCAACTATTCAATAAAGTTCAAGCAGAAAAAACCCTTCTTCTCTGGTACTGAAAGGATATCGGATTTGGTATCAGATTTGGCACTAGTGCAGTCCTTCAAGAATCAGGGTCTGAGTAACCCTGCAAGTGCCTACAGAACCAAGAACACCCTTGCAGGCTCTTGCAGGGTGCAATTGAAGAGAAATTATGCAGTTCAGCTGGAGGTCCTGAAGACCAGCATAAAAGGCTTTCTGGCATTGCTATTCTTTGCCACAGCAATGCAAATAGCCTCCAGGACTCTCTGCCCTCTGCACCACCCTTCCTTGAACTTCGTTCCTGCCTTACTCCGATCTGTTCCTGCCAGCTGTAGTTGTTCCTGCCTTGTTCTAGTCTGTTCCTGCCTTGCTCCTGTTTGATCCTGTGTACCCTAGTTTGCCTTTGCCCTGCTCCTGGGTGTTCTTGCTTGCTTCGAGTTGTTCGTGCCCTGCTCAAGCCCACTCTTGTCTGGGCCACCCTTACATGACTGTTTCCCTGGCATCAGACCACTGGACTCTTTCTGGACCATGCATCCTCTCTCGCCTGTATAATATTGGACTGCCTGCTGCCACGGACCTGACCCTGGACTGCTAACCACGCTACCAGCCTCTAGCCCTACTAAACTGCAGGACCTGGTCTTGCACCAGCACCCTGGTCCTGGCATTTTGCCTGTCCCAGCCACCACCCATGTGGCCCTTACACAGTCTTCCTAGGGAAAACATTCCAAAGCTTGGGTGCCTCAGCTAAGAAGTCTGCATCACTTTGGATAGTGGAGTGACCAACAGAGGAGCCTCTGATAATTTGAACAAATTGGCAGGTTCATGTAGCAAGTGGCTTTCCCAAGCCACATCACCTGGCATTTGTCAGGGAACAGTAACAGATTATTATAATCAACTGCCGATTATTACTTACATATTTCATTAGAGCAGAGTTTCTTAACCTTTTTACCCTAGAGGAACCCCTGAATTAATTTTCATGTCTCAGGAAATCCCTGCATAAAAATAACTATAAAGGTAGGCCATGCAATCAATGTAAATAAAAGTTGTAATTAGTAATGTAATTGAAACTATTCCATTATTATTAAATTGCATTTATCTCCTGCCTTTTTTTCCTCTTGTGAGGAATGTAGAACAGCTTACATAGCCCCATTTTATCCGCACAGCAATAGCCCTGTGAGGCAACTTAGTCTGAGAGTGAGTGACTGGCCTAAAGTCACCCAGTGTGTTTTATGGCTGAACCCAGATAATAAAAAGCAAAGGCACTGAACAGGATCTTTGGAATGTTATGTTATTAGAACAATATATATCCCACTGCTTTATCACTAAGTTTTACATTCAAGGAGCTGATGTTTTGGATCATGCATTTGCAAGGAATTTTGCTTTCTATATAGCAGAGGTTTGTCCGTGCCTTCTATTTAAGTGTTCTGTGTTAAATCAATATTCTTTACATTTCATTACATGAGCTGTCCTCTAAAAATCTAGTTGAATCTAACTAGAGCTCAGTAATACTTATCAGCCCCAAAACTGAACAAGAGAAAGGAATGGCTCATTACAACGAAAATAATACTCTTGGAGCCCATGTAACAGTGGCCTAGCACAGCTTTCCTCAAACACCCTCCAGATGTTTCAGACTGTATAAACCATCAACCCAAGTCAGCATGGCCAACAGTTAGGGATGATGGAAGCTGTAGTCAAAACATCTTGAGGGCACCAAGTTACGGAATGGTGGTTTTGCAGCATCTTCCAAACCCCATGGACCCCTCAGTCCAATCTATGCACAAGCACCCACCAGTACTGTGAAATTTAACCTCATTTATATTATTATTGTTTTATTTCTTTTATTAATGTGACATCCCACCCTTCCCAGAAGAACTACTTTGTAGATTAGGAGAAGAAAGGTTGGATCTGCCTGTGAGAAGGGTCCACCAGTCAGATGCAAGGTTAGCAGCCCCGTCCTTGTCTTTATCCCAGCACTATGCCCCAGAGATAGACCACCTCTGCCCATGGAGGCTTCACCAGGGGCCCACCAGTTCCTCAACTCACAGCCTGTTTCTCACCCCCTCACCTCAGTGACTAGCACCTGTCTGTATACCACAGAGGGCATGTGAAATAAGGGCCATTCCTGGTGGGTTAATGCCAGGCACACAGAATCACTGCTGCTCCCCATGAGCTGAAAGTGGACATACTTCCTGCCCTCACCCCTTCCAATCAGGGGCTGGGGCTCTGCCTGGGCCTGAGGCCTCCCGTCTCCTAGGCAACCGGCCTGAGTAGAAGGGCCTCTAAGGCAATAACTTGTGTTTATATTTATAAATATATTCATGATCTCTTACAGAAGCCCCAGCAACATTTTGCATAACCCTAGGGTTCCTGGGGGCCCTGGTCAAGAAAGACTGCTTTAGAGGCTGAAATTTTGGGGAATGTCTTCCCTGTCTCCATGCCTCAGAATAGGTCTCAGACTGGCTATGAAAAAGGGCTATGAGAGCAGATGAAATTTCAAGGACTCAAAAGCTTAGAATGAAAACCCTGAAAGGTGTTGGTCCTTTAGGATGGATATGTGACATCTGGAGCTCCTTTGCAGATAGTTCCTCATATTGAAATAACTCCAATTGTTTCTATTTGAAAATAAGACCCAGGTAAAATAGATTTTATGTAGGAAACAACACCAATCAACTTTATGTAGAAAATGTACAGGGTTAAAAAATGAGCACCCATTACTTCATTGCTCCTCACTTTAAAAAAGCACTCCGTCATACTCTCCCCTTAGATAGCCCATCCATTGCTATTGTCAAGTGTTGTGCTGAATGAAGTTGACTAAATCATGAGCATCTATATTGTACATTTAAGTGACAGTATTAGGGTCAATGGCCAAAATGGGAAGAATATTCAAAGGCAAGAGACTGAAGGACACTAGCGGCCGTCAACAAATTTGCTAACAGGCAGGGGGCAAGAAAGCTTTTTTGTTTTGGCGAGCAGAAATGCTCAGAGACAGAGGCTTTGCTAGAGCAGATAAATTAGGATGCCAAAAAATGTTGCTTCTCTCCTCTTTCACTATCCTACACTTTTGCGGGCCTAGCCTCCATTCACACCTTTACAATACCTTAGAGACCCACCTCTGCCCCAAGATAATAGGCTTCTGCCACTTCATTTTCACTTCAGGGGTCACGTATGTGTGTGTGTGTGTGTGTGCGCGCGCCCGCGCACATGCTAGTTAAGAAGAGGAAAGTTTGCTTTGTAAATTGATTGACTAGACAGGAGAAGACATAGGGCAATTTAAAATATCCTTTTTGTTTCTCTCACTCTCTCTTCTTCTCAAGATGCCCAGCAGATGTTGGTACCTGAGACACAGGAGGAAATTTCTCTCTCCATCCTACCTAAGCCATTGTGCAGTAGTTACTATCCAAGGCCAAACAAGTTACTCTGGAGCCTGAGGCAGAAAATTCCATAAGTATCTCTCCCCATTCCTGTTATTAAAATTATTAATAATTATTAAAATTAAGTTAGGGAACAATCCCATAACCCTTGTGGCAAATGGATGTCAACTTCTGAACTTAGAGTCATACAAGCATCCAGTGGCAGAAATGAGGTGTGACAGGAGCCATCTCTACTACTGGCACCATACCTCATGACATGTATTTTATTTTTATGGCCATTTTAGTGCATCCCCTTTACCCCTTCCAAGGCCCAATTGTGACTTCATACTGTCCACTGTCATATCCAGGTACTGATCTAGCATGTCCACAGCCTTTCCTGATGAAATAGAGCTATCTCTGATCACTGTACTAATGACAACACACTGCAAAAGTTCAGATGAATTCACTCAGTGATTTCATGTGTGCTCAGTAGCTTATGGGGAGAGGGCAGAATTGACCCCTGCATGATGGAGAATCCATGGGATCAAACAATGTTGGAGGACCAGCACCACCTACTGGAGCTGGCCCTCCAAGTAGGAGCAGAACCCCTATAATGCAGTACCCCCTACTCTCATCTCCAACAGTTGTCACAGAAGAATACCATGATCAATGGTACTGAAAGTTGTCAAGAACTCAAGGAGTGCTCATACTCTCCTGTCTCTCTCAGGGCCTAGGTCATCATAAGGTATCCAAAGTGTTGTTGCCAATTTCAGCACCCCAAAACACCCCAAAAGTAATTGGCCAGAGGAAGGCCACATAGTAAAAACACCACAGTTATACTGTCCCAGATGGGAGGGCAGATAAGAACAAAATGAACTTTGTGTAACCCACAGCTAACACGCTAGCCTGACCTCGAATACAGTAATCAAAGGGACAGTGAAAACTAGTTCTAGCAGCCATGAAAGTTGCAAATGTGCAGGAAGTAAGAACATGGCTAGTCTGTGTGAATGTCGAGCAGGTAAGAAATAGACATGGGAAATGTCTGGTCCTTGACAGAAGAAAGGACTCTTTCTCCAGCATGGGAGGGGGTGCATACATTGACATATCGATGTATTAGATGTGTATTAGGTGACCTAATTGGTTACTTAGGGTATAAAACACATGTACTGGGGTGCAACTTTTGAGACACTGCTTTGGGCTGAATGTCTCCCTTTATTCTATAGTGCACTAGAATAAAGCTGATTTTGGCTCTAAGTCTCAGGCTCCTTTTGGCTTGGGTCTGGGGTCCACCCAGGTTTGCCCTAGCTGTTGACTGTCTGAGTTTGGTAACAGTGTTTCTAGCCCAAAACCGGAATCCCATTCAAAATGGGTCAAGAAAGTCAGTCTCATATACAAGTATAAGAACCTGATTGGCAACTACCTGCTCAAGGACCTTGCCCAAGGAAGGAGCACTTGCTACTGGACTAAAATTGAGATTTTCCAGATCCAAGGAGGATTCTTCAGGAGTAGCCTCACCACTGCCTCTTTCAGGTGGCCCAGGTGCACTTTTTCAGGGAGCAGCCTAGTAAAGTGTTCCCTCCTTACCAGTTATTATAAGGTAAGAGGGGCAGAGTTCCAATACAGAAGTTGTCGCATGAACATGTCCATGCAATATTGTTGAGCTCCACCAGCTGAAACTCATCCAAGAAAACTGAATAGTAGCAGCATTCTAAATTTCAGAAAAATGGAAAATGGCAAAAGGAGCAAGAGAGAGAGAGAAGGCGGTGGTGGGGAGCAGGGTGAAAACCTCTTCTGTTGCTGCTGTTGTTGCCAGTACAGTGTTCTCAGGTAAGTGAGGAAGAGTTATCCACCTGTAATGATCATCTTTGTATTGAAGGTGACCATTATGAATAGCCAACATTCATATTTCGAACCAAGGAATTACACGCATTTTTGACACCATTAATTTGCACCTGCAGTTTCCTGGAACTTAGTGAGACTTGGTTCCAAATAAAAGTTCCTAAGCTGCAATCCTACACACAGGTTCATTCAGTTTCTATGTCCAAACAGGGTCTTTTAGACTGAGAAGTAATCAAACTACTACAGCAAAATTAATTAAATTAAAAAGATAAAGATGCATCAATGAAATTCTTCCAACTGCTAAATTATTATTTAGTATTTTCATAATTATAATGGCCAAACACCTATTTCTCATGATCCTTAAAGCAGAGTTAAGACATCTCCACCATGTACAGTACCTTACATTCAGCACCTTGCTGCACAGTATGTTCCTGCATCCACTGCGTTTCTAGGGTGCCCATTGATTTTGTTTTGCTGTATAGAAACTGTTAGAAAAGTACAGCACTAAATTTTTCTTCTTCATTTTTCCTTAAAGTTTTTCTCATAAATACCATTCTTTAAAGATGTTTATTCCACCAAAGGTGGTCCCTTGATGCACTGCCAGATGGCTGCTTTTCCACAAGGTACCACAGAATGTGGGCTGATAAAAACCATTTCGTCCTGATAGAAAATTATCAGCTTGACATGTCTAAAAGAGCTGAACAGCAAAGAAACTACAACTGCCCACTGTAGGTTTCTTCAGGGTTCCATGAAAATTCAGAGCAGTGAGTTCCATGAAAATTCAGAGCGGTAAACCATCTTCTGTTTGTTTATTTACTAACAAAAATATTTATGAACTGCCTTTTTGCTGCAAAGCTCCTCAAGACAATAAGCAGACTTTAAAATAAACTGATGCAACAAACACCTGAGGAATTAAGAGTATAACAGCACTATCCTTAAAACATACCAGAAAGTAGAATGAAACTAAGTTTAAAGCAATTGCAAGTCTAACAAAATATAAACGTTTTTACAGGTCATCTAAAGCTAAATAGAGATGGACCCGATCTGATTTCCCTAGGAAGGAAATTTCACAGTTGGGAACACATTCCTGCCAACATCAGCTCTTTTGGTGGTGGGACATGCAATAGACAGCTCTAAAGCAGCTGTAGTATCAAGCACATACTTAAAATGAACCTTGTCATAATCTTCCAACATCACATGACTAAGTTCTAGCTTGAAGACAGAGATGGGGGTAGAGCGTTTGAGCGACAGAGGAAACCTGATGCATCAGGGGCAATGACCACACAGCCTGAATTCCTCCTCTGGTCTCTCAATCAAATATGCTGCTTGTTTTTGCTCATGCTATTTAACAAGGGCCTCTCTATATCAAAGGCACTCAATTTTTGCTTTGCCTCCATCCACTGACATTTTAAAGCTTGTTCAGCCCACATTTTAAGTATCTGGAAAAGATCTGGAAGCATTCAGAAAGTGCTTCCTCTTGCGGTTCAGAGACTTTGAGAGGCATGTGTGACATGGAGGAAACTTCATATGGCTTTTAGTATCCATGAAGCAAATTCCTAATGTGAACATCCCTGTAGATAAGAGAAGGAAATGGCATGCAAATTGATAATTGCAGCACATCCAGAATTTTAGAGCAGCCATTCCATTTTGTATTACTTACCTGAGGGAAAGCAGCAGGTGATCCCATCATAGAAAGCACTACCTTCAAGTCACGTTCTACTCAAAGTACTTCTGACTTTAGATGGGACTCCAGATTTTAACATAGTAAAAGCTGTTCAGCCACTATTATAAACACTGAGCCATAGACCCGCCTCTTTGGGGATTTCAAAAGCAGAAAGCATCAACAGCTACTTAGGTTACATACTGCACTGATCTGTTGCAAGAATTTTTGTCTCCACATGGTGACTGTAGAACTGGAATTCCACCATGGAGTCAGCCCCATTTGAGTAACCACTGTGAGAACTGCATCTTATTAAGAGAAATGTGCATTGTATTTGTATGATCCAAGTCTATCAGACACAGAACATAACAAAACTCTGTGAAAAATCCCAAGAACCCAGCTGAGTAACCATGCAGTCCTGCATGTCAGGAAGGCTTTAATGAAATACTCCCTTTTAAAATAATGCATCCCAATGTCCATATATATATATATATATATATATATATATATATATGGGGTAGGGATGGAGAAAAGGGGAGTTTCAGAACACAGGCAGAGTTCATTGCAGAGAGTGGGCTCTGATAGATCATCTTTGGATTCTTGATTTGTCTGGTTACAAGGAGACAAAATGCAGGGAGACAGAACTAACTAGCTCTTTTGAAATGTAGGTAGATGGTTTCAGACATGAAACAATCTTCTGAATAGCCAGCTAGACTTCTAACATCAGACATGGAGCTTTTCTCACCATTAGACAAAATAGTCCATCTCCATTAAGAGCTGGCTTTTTGCTAACCTCAAATTCCCATGAATAGATACCATCTGTGATAGGGGTTTCCAAACATTATGTTGTTCCAAATAAAGTGCTGTTGACACTTTCATAAAATGGCTGCCATGGCAAATGTGGGCAGTCACAAAATATCTGTTGCTTGGAACTCATCCTGAAGTTAATTTGTATGCCTCAGTTTGTCTTTTCTGTGTACTGATTTCCTGCTTACAACATGCTTCCGCCTAACCTAAGGCAATGATATGGTTCCACCTATGGTTGGCTTCCCTCTGTCTTCCAACCCCAGCTGTCATTGCTTAGGATATATAATGCAATGTGGTCTTAATCCTCTGGACAAAAGGATTACCAAAATTAAAAGCTTTTAGGGCTTAATCCTAGGCATGTTTTTTCAGAAGTAGATCAGACTGTGTGTATCATGCCATCTTTTTCTCTGTCCAAAGAACCCAGAGCTCCTGAAATGTTGTGGGTTATATCTAACATAAGCTGACAGGGGTGGCTGTGGAGGTAATGCTGCAGTGCCCCAGGTTATTTTTCTTGGGGGATATCAATATTCAGGCTGGGGGCACCTTGACTGGGACAGCTCAGGGTTTTATGGACTCCATGACAACAATGGGACTGGACCAAAATATCAGTGGCCCAATACACATAGTGGGGCACACCCCAGATCTGTTTTCTTCAGCTACATGTGAGGATGGTGATCTGAATGTGGGGGATTTTGATTCAGTCCTTTTGTCATGGTCAGGTAATCACCTGGTGAGGTTTAGTCTGATGGAGGCTTTTCTCCTCTTCAAAGTTCGGAAACCCTTTAAGATGGTCTATCCTTGAAGGCTAAAGGATCTGGAAGGTTTTCTGAAGGCTCTTGGGAATTTCCAAGCTGATGTGATGGGTAGTCCTGTTGAAACCCTGGGACAAAGAGCTGACCTGGGTGGTGGATATGATCTCCCTGAGTTCCCTCTCTGTAGGAGATCTTCTACAGCCCCATGGTGTAACCCTGGAATCAAAGCAATGAAGCAAAACAAGAAAAGACTTCAGTGCAAATGGATTAAACCTCCTAGTGGTGGCAATTGAGCCTTGGTATGTTTCTATGATACTTAGGGATAGTGGGAATGGCACAACATCATCATCTTTCTGCTTCTATTCAATCTTCTACTTGTCACCCAGTGGTGTTTTTCTGTATTCAGGGCTTACTACATATGGACCCTAAGAATGTTCTAGACCCATTTCAGGCCTTCTGTAGCATACTTGCTAGGCACTTCCATTTGAAATCAATTGCATTCTCCATGGGTTAGACTCCAATGTTACAGCAGTTGAATCTGGTGAAGTTCCCAGAACACAGTCTGATATAATTTTATTGGATGAGTTTCAGTTGGTGCAGCATTGAGCTGTTGACAAAGTGCTTAGACAAGTTCATGAACGTATCCTGACTCTTCTATATTCTTACCTGTCTTGGCTAATTAAAAACAGTAGAGATGGAGCAGCAGTTTGGGCCAGGGAAGTGATTAATACTTTCTTGAGAGAGGGTGTGGCCCTACATCACCTGAAAGAGTCAGCAATTAGGTCACTCCTTGGCAAGCCCTCCCTGAACAAGAAAGATCCAAGCAACTTCAGATTGGTGTCAAAGGTTCTCTTCCTGGGCAAGGTTCTTGAGTGGGTGGTGACCAACCAGCTCCAGGCATTTTTGGATGACAATGATCTGGACCCATTTCATTTGGAGTTCAGGCTGAGTTATTGCATGCAAACAGCCTGATTGCCCTTTATGATGTGTGTGGAGCGAGATGGAGGAAAGCAATCCTGTGTATACTCTCAGTGGCTTTCAGTACCATTGACCATGATATCCTTCTGGACAACTGGCTAAGCTGCCTTGCAGTGGTTCTGACTGGCTCCAGAGGGTGGTGCTTTGGGAATATTATTCAACCCCATGGATTCTGCAGTATGTGGTTCCTCAAGGGTTTGTCTTATCCCCCATGCTATCTAATCTCATGCTGATGACACACAACTCTATCTTTTCTTTACATCCTCATCAGGAGAGGCTGTGCTAAACCAGTGCCTGCCCGTGACAATGGACTAGATGAAGACTAATAAAATGAAACTCAGTCTAGACAAGATTGAGGGAATATTGGTAGGTGTTTCCTCTGACTGGGCGGTGGGTGTTCAACCTGGTCTGGATGGGGTTGCAATCTCTCTAAAGGAGGAGGTTCATAGCTTGTGGGTATGCCTTGATCTGTCTTGGTCATTTGAGGCTCAGGTGGCCTCAGTGGCACAGAGTGCCTTCTACCAGCTTTGGCTGGTGGGCCAGCTATGCCTTTATCTGAACAGAGATGGCCTAGTTTATAGTGTATAGTCTCCACCAGGGGTTCTCAAACTTTTCCAACAGGGGGCCAGTTGAAAGGTGTCCGCAGTGGGCATGGGCTGCCAAGGTGGTGCCGGCGAGGGGGTGTGGACCGGGGCGCGTGGGGCTAGGCAGGGGCGGGGGGGGGGGGCGAGGTAGCCACTTGCTTGAGCAGAGATAATTTCCTCCGAGCGAGTCCAAAATGATCTCCCCACAAGCAAGCTGCTGCTGGGTGCGCACACGGCGAGGCACTGGCTTGCTCACAAGGAGATCATCTCTCCGAGCGAATCCAAACCGATTGCCATGTGCCTGAGTGCAAAACATCTGGGGCGGGACAGATCCAGCCCACGGGCCATAGTTTGAGGACCCATGGTCTACACTCAAACTATCTCCAAGTTAGATAACTCCAGTGCACACTATGTGGAAGCTGCAACATGTGCAAAATGTGGCAGCCAGGTTAAATCTGGAACTAGAAGATCTGAACATATAATACCAATTCTGGCCAGCTTGCATTGGCTGCCCCTGTGCTTTTGGGCCCAGCTCAACCTGTTGGGCTTAACCTACCCTTACATGGCTTGGGATCACAACACCTGACAGAATGTCAGTCTATCCACCCTACCTCAGTCTAATGAGAATTTATAATCTGCATCTGGGGCTTTTCTCCAACTGTCACCTCCAAGGGAAGCCCAGGAAGAGGTAACAAGGAGGGAGGGAGGGACTTTTATGTGGTGGCGCTCCAATTATGGAATGGTTTCCCCACTGAGGTCTGCCTGGCACTGATATTATCATGTTCTTGGTGTCAGGTCAAACTGCCCTTTATTTCCAGACATTTAATAGCATTTAATTGCATATGATGGGTTATGTCAGCTGTGTTAATTATCACCATTATTAGCTGCAGTACATCTGGTTTGACAGATGACTGTACTTTTTTAGGAGAACTTTAAAAACTGAACCAAAGTTTACTTTTTGCAAAATGTGACAGCAGTAATCCCAGAATTACAGTATGTTTCACCTTATTTTGCTTCCATCATTTCAGAGGAAGAACCTGATTCAGAGAGAGAAGAATCTGCTTGGGGTGATGGAAATTCATTTCTCCCTGGTTTCTCAGGAGAATGTCATCAGGGAGAGGCAGCTTCTCCTTCCCAGCTAAAAGCCAGAACTACCTTGCCAAGGTACACCTGAACTGACTCAGTCTGAGCACCATTCCTTGATAAGCAGTCAAGAGGAAGACTGTAAGTTTTTAAAAAATTGAATTTGTACCCCATCTCCTTTTAAAGGCTTAGATAAAAAAGAAGCCAAGTCCTACATTGTACTCTTTGGCTTATAGAATCCTGAAAATGATCTCTTAGTACTTATCTCTCATGCTGGAAAAAACTGTAGTTGTCACCGTATTCTTTCTTGAGCTCTCAGAGAGGGGGGCTTCTTGTGTGAGGGCTCCTGCTACTTTCTTTGTTGAGAAATGGTAATTTCATTGGTGAAGTTTATTATCCAGTGGAGAACAAAGCTTTATCTGGCTCATATTTCCTTCACTTGACTTATCACTGTATATTCTAATTGGTATATATGGCAGATGGAAGAATCAACTGGCTTTCTGTACATGACACATTTAGAATCCACATCTAATTCCTCAATCACCATAGTTTGTGAGTGTTATCTTGTTACACTATTATCCTCTAAGGCCTCTCATGTTTTCCAAGTGTTTCTGTAGCTTTTTTAAGAGCAAGGAAAGTATAGTACATTCTGAAAATAGCAGAATGAACCAGAATGAAAAGTTTTGCAATTCCATGGTGCTGCAGAGCCAGTTTGTGATTGTGTAACATACAGAACATAGACCACCACTATGAAAAGTGGTGTGTAAAGGTGTGTAAAGGAGCTGTTCTTAACTCCACAGAGAATCTGGAAGCAGAAGTATTG